ATTGTTATGGCCTACCTCCACGTTCCCACCAAAGAACGAACGAAGCGATAAGTTATAATTTTTGATAGATAATAAATCACCCATTCAGACAAGCAACAATCTGGCTACCACCATTAAAATGTGACATGAAGCTATTAAAATTACCATTATATAGTTTAATTGGATTCCTAAAACTATGTTTGACTCCACTTATATATCAAGTCGATTTATTCGGAAATTTTGCTGTGTTTTCCAAGTTTTGTTTGTATTATAGGCCAATATTTAAAAAGATTTAATATTTTTTATAAAATATATATACAGTGCGTCTACTTCAGTTGGCAACATATGGGAAACTTTTTATTATTAATTTTAAGAAAAAAGTTATTCATCATAAAAAGTTCTGCATGTTCTAAAATCTAAAATACAATCATCAGATATCTTACTCAAGAGTAAAGTACCTTTATATTTGACAATATCAAAAATTTTTATTAAAAAAAGTTGATCAGAACTAAAAACTACCTTCAAATATACAATTAGTTCCATTTACATGAAAATAATAATTTTTTCTACGACCACTAAAGTTCATTTTTTTTTATCTGGACTGCGGCAACGTTGCAAATTTAGGGTTTTGGTTGGTAAATACAGTTGTCAAGTTGGTCGCATTGATTTAAACAAACTAAGCTAGTTATAAATCTAATTGTGGTTATGTATAAATTATTGTAGGTTACATTGTGCAGTTGTCAAGTTGAGTTGTCGAAATTCGTAGTTAAACATGCAATTAATTTGGCTTTGTTGGTGCTTGGATGAGTAAAATAATATAAAAAAGTAGTTAAATATAGGTTGCTTTACGGCCCAGAAGAGAAAGTATTCCTAGCGGATAATAATCTTCGCTTTGAAAAGAATTTATATGAAAGAAATTAAAATTTTTTGTGAACGTAAATGTTGTGCAATGGTGAATAATGTGAAAATAATGTGTGATGTAATATTTATAAAACCAAATTCGTTACTTTTTTACTCCAAAAATTTCCATAAGGCGATGTACTTTTTCTTCCATTGTGGCATTTGGCATAATTTCATCAAAATGAAGTTTTGCCCTCAAAAGGGCTTTTACATTCGAATTCGTTGCTATTATTTTTGGCATAATTATCTTTTTATTTATAATTGACAAGATAATTATCAATAATAAATATTATTGTCAATTTGACAGTGTCAAAGTATTTAATTAAATTCTTTAGGAGAAGTACCATTTTTAAATACTAAAAATACTAAGTAAAACTGGCATAAGCCACCAACCTAACAAAAAAAAGAAATATTAAAAATTTAAAATGGTATAAAATCGGTATAATTTGGATTTTTTAAAAGAAATTTGAAATTGCGCAAAACTTGTTTACTTAATGTCATTATAAACTCATATAAATTTGGTGTAGGTCCCTTATCTAATAATTGAGATATCGGTATACCCAAAATCCACCAGCCGCCACTGAGTTACATACATGTAATCTATAGGATGCACTGACAAACAAATGATTTGTTGATAGCAAGAAAAGTTTGACATTGAATGTCAAAACATCAGAATTTGGTTATTATTTTCTGAACGGAACGGAAAGGTTATCATGTTTGTAATAAAGAAAAAAGATAAATGTTCGGTATCGGGAATTTGGAAAAAAAATTGTAATTTTTTTAAATTAAAAGGAAGTAATTGCATATTAAAACATAGTTTTTCATTCCGAACAACTTTTCATAATTACAGATTTCGATATAATCACAAATAAGGGTAGTTTACTCTTGTACCAAATTCATATTTTTTGTCACACCCCGTATATGACTGAAAAAATTTAATATCTGATGATTTTATTTTAGATTTTAGAACATGCAGAACTTTTTATAAAGAATAACTTTTCTTCGTAAAATTAATAATAAGAAAGTTTCCACCCAAAATTTTTGGTGGATCTCTATGATTGTCATAAAAACCGATTATTTATAGTGTCTGTTTAACCCGTTAAAACAAACATTTTAATATGACTTTTTACAGCAACAATAAACTGTTTAATTTCGAACTAAACACGTGCCACTGGGAGGTGGTTAACTTTTTTGTCCACTACCGGCGACTTGATAAAACTAAATTTGAATAAAGTTAAGTGGGCAATGGAGAATGTAAAACACGGATATTTATTTGGTTAGACTATAAAATACTAAAAACCAAATTAAGTAGGAAAAGTTTTAATTATTTTTTTGTGTAAAACAATCATAATGCATAAATCCTAAAGCCTAAAGCCAGACAGACTGAACGGGAATATAATATATGGTTTTAAAGCTATAGGATTGTCTAAGTGAGATAAGAGGATTATTATATAATTTGAGCCGGATTCATTTTCTTCAATGCATTGAGTGGAAATAATAGAAGATATTTGTACGATAATGGAATTTTATATCTAAACGACCCATTAAACATTGCATGTGTTTTGGGAAATGAGAGTTCACTGGATGCAATGAACTTTGGCCCAGTTTAAAATCCATAAATTTAAAAATCGCGTAAGCTAAAAAACAATTTTATTTCGTTATGAATAGGTTTTAGAGATCTACATGACGTATAATTTTTTATAATACCCATTTACCACATATTCAGTCGATACTTCACATGGAAATGCATTAAACAGTGATATGAACATGCAAAAATTTTACTGCATGTCACATCCATAAAACCGTAGCGACGCTAGGAAATGCATTTACCAGTAACTTTACCAACATGCAAAAATAAAAATAATAATAATAAAACGGGAAAGGAGTCTTAATTAGGCAACCAGCAACCAAATTGGATAATTCAGCAATTACGTCCACTTTCCGGAATTTAATTTTCTATAGAAGTATACTTAGCGAATTTAAACACTGTATACGTGATGCTTTTTAAATAAATTAGTGTATTAAGTTTTTTAATCAAATATAGGAAGCCGTTTCATTTTTTATTCAGAAATTAATTTTATGAGTGATATTTTTAATTAGATAAAAATATAACATAAGAATTTTTATTCTGCGAATTAATAATATCATAGCAGATATTTTAAAATTAGATTTAATTCACAGATTATAAAGGTTAATTTAATTTAATTTCTATGCCAAACTGAGATTTTTTATTAATTTGGACTATTCCAAAAATAATATCAGATTCTAAAGTAAAAGAACTTTTAAGGGCAAAACTTCATTTCGATGAAGTTATGCCAAATGCCTCAATGGCAAAAAGTATGGACATTTTTGGAGTAAAAAAGTAACGTTTTTGGTTTTACAAATATTAAAAAATCACACATTATTTTCAGCTAAGCAGACCAAAAATTTTTGAAATTTTAAAAAATAAGGGGGAAATAAAAAAACAAAAAATAAAAATTATTTGCTGTTCAACCTTTTTGTGAAAAATCTTATTTGAAAAAGATAAGCAATAATCACGAAACTTTTTCTTCTTTAAATTTGCAAGTTACTGATCATTAATAGTCCTGCACAATACATACATAATAATTATTATTAAGCCACTACACGTATTAACGTCCAGTGGCTTTAACAAAATACCCATTCACCATTGGAGTCCAATGATTGGACAACATTCACGTGTGTTCACATAAAATTTTAATTTCTTTTATGTAAATTCTTTTCAAAGCGAAGATTATTATTCGCTGGGAATTCTTTGTCTCTCCTGGGCCGTAGTCACCTATATTTAACTACTTTTTTATATGATTTTACTAGTCTACGCCCCACCAAAGCCAAATTAATTGCATTTTTAACTACGAATTTTGACAACTCAACTTTACAACCGTTCAATGTAACCTACAATAATTTAAACATAACCAAAATTACATTATAATTACATTTATATCTATTTTTTTAAACAAAAATTTCTTCTATGATATTTTTAATTTAGCGAATTAAAAATGTTTGTTTAACTAAAAAATATAAATATAAAAAATATATATTTTAAATTTATTAAATTAAGCCCATAGATGAATCCTAGTATATCTAAGAGAGTTTTCTAGAACCTATTGGATTATATATCCAATAGCACATTTTTTTAATTAATCATTGTAGATATCATTGTTAAAACAATATTGCTTCCTAAAAAGTATTCTTGTAGATTGTCTATTTAACAAACCTTTCTTTATAATTCAAGTAAATATTTATGAATTGTTTTCATTTGCTTGACAAATATAAGACTGGCAAAGAAAGCAAAAAATTGAATACAAATATTTTGATATACGACTCCCTGTCACAAGCTTGTGACAAAGCAACAGGCTTTTCTTGGGGCCGCCAAGAAAATATTTGCAATTTTTTTTACTTTTAGTATTAGTATTTTTGGGTTCAGTTAAAAACTTTTTGGATACTTTTTGAAAATTTTACATGTAATGTATCCGAGCTTATGCTTACAACACCCCAAGGTGCTGTTGTGCATATTAAATTTTCACTTTGTAGAGGTATGCATTAAAAGGTAGGTAGGTATATTGTTTAATTGAAAGGGGAATTGGTCATTTATATCTTTAATAATTTATAGAAAAGCCTAATGAATCAAGCGTTTAGAAATCCTGGTTTCAATTGGTTAATTTAATTACCACAACTTTTATTTTCTCTATAAACGAGTCGTTTAAAAATACGTTTAAAATACAGTTTTTTTACGTGGGCAATAAGACAAATCAAAATTCTTTGTAAACCCTAGGTCATGTAATGGATGCAATAAAATGGAACTTCCAATTGCGTCACCTTAGTGTGAGGGGTCAAAGGAAAAGAAAATGTTCAACCGACCAAGCGAAACGTATTGATTATGATTTAACACTTGTAGAAGCGGGATTACATAAATTAGTCTAGGTTGGGTAACTGCATGGACATGATTAATCTAAAACTACATTTCATAGTAGGTGCAGAAAATATCGGAGTTGCGACGAAACAAGCAATAAAATGCAAAGCAGGAGAAGCGGCAACAAAAAGATGTGGCAGGAGAATCCAAGATGTCTATTGAGTGAGCGGTTAGGAAAAAAGGGACTTACCAAGATGGCAGATAAGAAAAGACATTAGCACTCGACGTTCGACCACAGGTTTTTGCGTGTGTTTTTCTCAACGTCGCGTCAGGATATCTTGGTTAAATTAATCGTACCTACGTCGGAGTGATGGCGTAAGTTTTGGCTCGCGGGCCGCGGGTGGAGTGTCAGAGCGCGCTTTCGCGTCGACTTGGTCGAACGGCGCGCAGCAACAACCCCCTTAAAACAGATATTGATTTTTCTCTCTTCGTTCGGCTAGGAATTACTTATGTTTAATACGGGGCCCGGTCGAGAGGCTACTAGTTTTTTGTTTTTCACAGAAACTCAAAAATATCCTTCAAAACATCTAAAAAAAATCCCTTAAAGTTTGATTCTAAGTACTTCATTTTACATTTTGAATTTTTCCCATTTAAAAATCATGTATTTTCAATTACTTTTTTTTTAAATTTCTCTATCTTTGGGTTTAAAGCTATCATATTGTGGTTCATTGTTACTTACAGAGTATTTAACGCTTTTTAAAAGAGCCTATAGGAATTTTACTAGCGTGCGCAAAGTAACACTTTTCCGCCCGCATTTGCATTTAAAATGTACGTACCTACGAGGTGTGTTCAGAAAATATCGGGAATTTTCATTTTTTGAAACAAATATTTATTTATTCGTCTACATTAATGTTGTCGCCTTCAAAATAGTCCCCATTGGATATTATGCATATGTGCCAGCTCTTCTTCCAATTCTCTAAACACTTCTAAAACTCGATCTTTGGGATAGCCTTTAGTTCTTTCAGCGATGCGCTTTTAATGTCATCTATGCTTGCAAAACGACGGCCCTTTAAGGTTCTCTTTATTTTTGGGAATAGGAAAAAGTCAGACAGAGATATGTCTGGCGAATATATTCGTATATATATGTGTATACACACAAAAAAATAAAATTTCATTTCAAGAAGAATTATTGTTTTCAAAATGTTTACTTCATTCAAAACACAATAAGTTCTAATTAAGACTATGCTTTTACTTGGAGAAAAACGCTAAGATTACTGGGAAAATGTTATTTCTTTAAATTATTTTTTTAACTGGAACATAACGGTTTCATTTGGAATAATTTTTAACAACTTAACATAAGAATAAGAAAATGTTTGAATAAAAAGAAAATTTATTCTTGAACTGATTCAACGATTTTTTCGGGCGAAAATTTCAGATAGAATATAATTTTTATATGGTTTCTTTAAAAATTCTCAATTTTTTAATCAAGAAAATATATTTGATTCAAGAGTATGTTTGTTTTAAATAAACCCACGCATGCGCTAAGGTACCATCCCCTTCGTCTTGACTCAGCGTAGCGTCCTTCTTTACATGGCGGTATACCGGTGCAAGTTCTCGGTGTAAATAACGGTGGTGAAATTGTGGTATATTTTGTTGTCGTTTGTTTAATTGGAGATAACTTGGGTCTTCATTCAGTGTTAGGTTACCATGAATATTTTTCTGCAATTTTTTTTGCAGGTTTTGCACTCTACCCAAGATAGAAAGTTTCTATTAGAAACACGAAACAAACAAACAAGTTAAAGAAAAAGCATCCCTGTGAAGGGAGAAAAAACAGTATAATAACCATTTGGAGAACAACTGCTTTATATTTTCACTGTAAAAATTAAAATGAATTTCATATGAACCGATAGGGTTTATTTTAAGAATATCATGGTTTTACTTTAACACTTTATCTTTTCAAATTAAAAATACGATTTTTTTAGTACAAAAATATGTCGATAGTTTTTTGAAAAATATGCTTATTTTAAGAAAACATAGTCTTAAATCAAAGTTGTAATAGCTACAGAATAAGAATTAACAAAGTTTAACCGCAAATTGACGAATTTCAATTTAAGAATTTTAGTTATTCAACATAACATTACAATTCGAATAAATAAATTTCTTCTAAGAAAAAAACATTTATTTGTGTATATTGAAAACTAAGATTTGCTTGGAACAATAGTATTTTATTTGTTTTAAAAATAATCTTTTTTCTGTGTACGGGGCCCGGTCGAGAGACTACTATTTTTTGTTTTTCACAGAAACTCAAAAATATCCTTCAAAACATCTAAAAAAAAATGTGTGCGTGCTCGAATTAGTAAGGAAAAATTATTTTTGCAACTTTTTTTTTCAAGTTTTTCAGAAAAAATGTCATAAGGGGGGACCCTTTTGAAAAAAATATCGCGATTTTCGAGTGTAACTTCCGAACGAGAAGAGATACGAAAGTGCGGTTTGATTTTTTGGAATCAGCGTGCTCGAATTAGTAAGGAAAAATTATTTTTGCAACTTTTTTTTTCAAGTGTTTCAGAAAAAATGTCATAAGGGGGGACCCTTTTGAAAAAAATATCGCGATTTTCGAGTGTAACTTCCGAACGAGAAGAGATACGAAAGTGCGGTTTGATTTTTTGGAATCAGCGTGCTCGAATTAGTAAGGAAAAATTATTTTTGCAACTTTTTTTTTCAAGTTTTTCAGAAAAAATGTCATAAGGGGGGACCCTTTTGAAAAAAATATCGCGATTTTCGAGTGTAACTTCCGAACGAGAAGAGATACGAAAGTGCGGTTTGATTTTTTGGAATCAGCGTGCTTGAATTAGTAAGGAAAAATTATTTTTGCAACTTTTTTTTTCAAGTTTTTCAGAAAAAATGTCATAAGGGGGGACCCTTTTGAAAAAAATATCGCGATTTTCGAGTGTAACTTCCAAACGCGAAGAGATACGAAAGTTCGGTTTGATTTTTTGGAATCAGCGTGCTCGAATTAGTAAGGAAAAATTATTTTTGCAACTTTTTTTTTCAAGTTTTTCAGAAAAAATGTCATAAGGGGGGACCCTTTTGAAAAAAATATCGCGATTTTCGAGTGTAACTTCCGAACGAGAAGAGATACGAAAGTGCGGTTTGATTTTTTGGAATCAGCGTGCTCGAATTAGTAAGGAAAAATTATTTTTGCAACTTTTTTTTTCAAGTTTTTCAGAAAAAATGTCATAAGGGGGGACCCTTTTGAAAAAAATATCGCGATTTTCGAGTGTAACTTCCGAACGAGAAGAGATACGAAAGTGCGGTTTGATTTTTTGGAATCAGCGTGCTCGAATTAGTAAGGAAAAATTATTTTTGCAACTTTTTTTTTCAAGTTTTTCCGAAAAAATGTCATAAGGGGGGACCCTTTTGAAAAAAACATCGCGATTTTCGAGTGTAACTTCCGAACGAAAAGAGATACGAAAGTGCGGTTTGATTTTTTGGAATCAGCGTGCTCGAATTAGTAAGGAAAAGATATTTTTGCAAATTTTTTTTTCTTGATTTTCAGAAAAAATGTCATAAAAAAATATCGCGATTTTCGAGTGTAACTTCCAAACGCGAAGAGATACGAAAGTGCGGTTTGATTTTTTGGAATCAGCGTGCTCGAATTAGTAAGGAAAAATTATTTTTGCAACTTTTTTTTTCAAGTTTTTCAGAAAAAATGTCATAAGGGGGGACCCTTTTGAAAAAAATATCGCGATTTTCGAGTGTAACTTCCGAACGAGAAGAGATACGAAAGTGCGGTTTGATTTTTTGGAATCAGCGTGCTCGAATTAGTAAGGAAAAATTATTTTTGCAACTTTTTTTTTCAAGTTTTTCCAAAAAAATGTCATAAGGGGGGACCCTTTTGAAAAAAATATCGCGATTTTCGAGTGTAACTTCCGAACGAGAAGAGATACGAAAGTGCGGTTTGATTTTTTGGAATCAGCGTGCTCGATTTAGTAAGGAAAAATTATTTTTGCAACTTTTTTTTTCAAGTTTTTCCGAAAAAATGTCATAAGGGGGGACCCTTTTGAAAAAAACATCGCGATTTTCGAGTGTAACTTCCGAACGAAAAGAGATACGAAAGTGCGGTTTGATTTTTTGGAATCAGCGTGCTCGAATTAGTAAGGAAAAGATATTTTTGCAAATTTTTTTTTCTTGATTTTCAGAAAAAATGTCATAAGGGGGGACCCTTTTGAAAAAAATATCGCGATTTTCGAGTGTAACTTCCAAACGCGAAGAGATACGAAAGTGCGGTTTGATTTTTTGGAATCAGCGTGCTCGAATTAGTAAGGAAAAATTATTTTTGCAACTTTTTTTTTCAAGTTTTTCAGAAAAAATGTCATAAGGGGGGACCCTTTTGAAAAAAATATCGCGATTTTCGAGTGTAACTTCCGAACGAGAAGAGATACGAAAGTGCGGTTTGATTTTTTGGAATCAGCGTGCTCGAATTAGTAAGGAAAAATTATTTTTGCAACTTTTTTTTTCAAGTTTTTCCAAAAAAATGTCATAAGGGGGGACCCTTTTGAAAAAAATATCGCGATTTTCGAGTGTAACTTCCGAACGAGAAGAGATACGAAAGTGCGGTTTGATTTTTTGGAATCAGCGTGCTCGAATTAGTAAGGAAACATTATTTTTGCAACTTTTTTTTCAAGTTTTTCAGAAAAAATGTCATAAGGGGGGACCCTTTTGAAAAAAATATCGCGATTTTCGAGTGTAACTTCCGAACGAGAAGAGATACGAAAGTGCGGTTTGATTTATTGGAATCAGCGTGCTCGAATTAGTAAGGAAAAATTATTTTTGCAACTTTTTTTTTCAAGTTTTTCAGAAAAAATGTCATAAGGGGGGACCCTTTTGAAAAAAATATCGCGATTTTCGAGTGTAACTTCCAAACGCGAAGAGATACGAAAGTGCGGTTTGATTTATTGGAATCAGCGTGCTCGAATTAGTAAGGAAAAATTATTTTTGCAACTTTTTTTTTCAAGTTTTTCAGAAAAAATGTCATAAGGGGGGACCCTTTTGAAAAAAATATCGCGATTTTCGAGTGTAACTTCCGAACGAGAAGAGATACGAAAGTGCGGTTTGATTTTTTGGAATCAGCGTGCTCGAATTAGTAAGGAAACATTATTTTTGCAACTTTTTTTTCAAGTTTTTCAGAAAAAATGTCATAAGGGGGGACCCTTTTGAAAAAAATATCGCGATTTTCGAGTGTAACTTCCGAACGAGAAGAGATACGAAAGTGCGGTTTGATTTTTTGGAATCAGCGTGCTCGAATTAGTAAGAAAAAATTATTTTTGCAACTTTTTTTTTCAAGTTTTTCAGAAAAAATGTCATAAGGGGGGACCCTAATAAGGGTCATTTATGGACCACATCTCAAAACATTCAGTATTTTAATAAAAAAATTATGCTAATATAATGAAATTATGGCTTTTTGCGAAAGGTAAAATTAAATGGTCTCTGGGAGCCAAAGTTTAGGTCAGATAAAAGAAAAATTTTAGATTTAGGGTGGAATTAGATGTATAAACACAATATTAAAATATAAAAAAAAGATGTGTTATAAAAAAATACCCCAAAATCGTTCGATTCTTTAGCGAAATCATAGTTAAGTGTTTAGTTAGTTTCTTAGTGTTTTAAGTGTAATTAAGTTTTAAAATAAATAGTTTAGTTCGTTAATAAACCAGTGCGTGTTTTAATTCATACTACGAACAGTAAAAACGTTACAATACATGTATTGCAATCGTTTTTTCTAAATTCCAACTCAAATATTTAACGATATTGTTTTCATGACGTTCCAATAAAAAAAATCAAAAGTTGCTTGCACTAATGTTGATTTTAATCCGATGACAATCACAGTTTTTAGCAATGTGTAAATACCAAAAAAACGGCAAGCTAAGTAGATAATCAATAGCAGCCTATAGGCTTAATGTATCAAATTACAATACATTTTATTTATGTCAACAAATCCATTTATTTAGTATTTTGTCAGCAGAGAAGTAGAATTTGACCATAATGTTTACGTTATTGAGTACCTATTTGGTTTCATTTAATTTTACACAAAAAATGTCCTTGTTTAAAAGGTCTAAAACCAACCGTTATGTTAAGAAAAATCGATTTGAAAATTGGTTTCACGTTATAGGTTTGTGGATGAAATTTAGAGACACCCATTTCATCCCACTTCTGATGTTATATAGCATTCTTGACCCCATGATCTTAAAAACGTTTTTGCGTTCTAGAATAACCTCTTAAAATTTGTGGATACGAATCTTGTTTAAAATTAACTTCCCTCGTAATCTTAATTTAACGTTTGTTCTAAAACGACATATAAAATTTATGAGCGCGATATTATATCGCAATGGATTTGATCGAATAGCCTTTCCAAAAATAACAGGCAACCACTTTTTAAAAAAACACGTCGCTGATTTGACACGCAAATGTTTGATTTACGACCTACATAGATTTCAGAAAAAAATACTTACATTGTTTTTATTTTTGAATTGGGAATTTGCATTAATAAAAATTTAAACACCCTAACACATTTTTTAAGTTCTGTCAATGAACTCTATGACTAATTTTAAATTAAATCGCAATATTTACGTTTTAAATAAATAAATCTTTTAGTTTAATTGAATAAATATTAGATTTTACCGGCACTGATTTATTATGTAAGTCATTGTTTTGCTGCCCATTGTACTGGAATTCCTGTTATTTTGTGTACAAAAAATTGCAGGCCTTCATATACAGTGTGTCAGAAAAACTATATAGGTAAATACTCCCCTCATTAAAGTTCAATATGTACCTACATCTGTTTTTTGTAATTTGTCTGCCATAAAATCATTTAATTTAGCATTAATTAATTAATTTAAGTAGGTATATGGTATCTATGTCATACACATACGAATGTATTGAATAATACATAAAGTTAAATGTCTATTTTTTTTATAAATACCAAAATAAATACCACAACCTTAACAAACCCATACCCATGTTATTCACATTTATAAAAATTCAGTTTTATATTCTAATAGGATCTTTAAACAATAAAATGAAACTTAGTTTACATAGTAAATGACACAATTCCATTAAACAAATCATTATTTTTAATGCTCCAAATATTTGGCTAATGAATAGTTATAAAATAAAGGTACCTATCATGAATACAACAAGCAAATAAGTACCTACCTACTTAATTAAAAATAATATACTGGGATTATCAATTTTTTTTCAAGTAATAAAAAATGCTTTCTCTTTTTAACACAACCCAAATTGTATTGTTTTGCATGTGTTTCTTAATTTCCTGAAAATAACAAATCATGTTGAAATATTAAAACATTTTTATGCGATGAGCTGCCTTGAAATCAACACCTTTTTATGACTAAAAAATATCTAATTTTAAATTTCAACATTATTAACAGAAACTTTGAAGAACAAACCCTGTATCTCAAAAACAAAATAAGTTTAGCTTCTCGATCAGATCTGATCTTAATTAATTACCTACCTAATCAACAAAAATCGCTAATAAAGAACCTACCCTTAAAATATAAATAATAAAGTATGCTAATATAATAAAACTTACCTTGCTCAGCCATGAGGTGAATTTTTCGTCTTTCCTGGCCTCAAAACGTCCCACAAATCACTAAAATATGCGATTTTTAATTTAACTTTAACGATAAACAAAACACGGCAAACTTGTCAAATTTGTCAATATTTGATTTGGTTACTTTTTAGTGACTTCTGCCTGAAGCAGGATTGCCAACTGTACTATAGTTAAAGTATTTTACCATTGAGTAAATGATTTTACTATCGCGTTTACTGACTAAAAATATCACTATTTAAATGGAAATAATTTTTTTTATTCTTAAATTCATTAAAATGAAAACTGGTATGGTGGGTAGCAACAATTTAATGACAAATATTAAAAAATACTTTAGCTGGCAGCGCCATCTAGAAAAAAATTACTGAACTAAAAATTTGGATTTCAAATTTTTACACTTTAGTTCAGCAATATTTGGATAGATGGCGCTTAAAAATGTAGGTAGGCAACTAATTAACAAAACTCTGTCAACTGGGTAGCCTCCCTACAAAAGTTTTAAAAGCGCTATCTATGTAAAAATGTCCAAACTAAATATATCGCTACCAAAAATTTTGCAGCCATTCTTGGATAGGTGGCACTGCAACTAAAGATTTTGTAGGTAGGCAACCAGGGTTAATACAAGGCTGTTTTTTGATTGCATACCTACATAATATTGTTAGCAGCGCCATCTATTCCAGTATGACTAAACTAAAGTTTTAAAATGTTTGGATTTGTATAGTTCAAAGTAAAAATCAAATCAAACAATTTTAAATGGTCAAATTGTGAATTAAAATCGATGAAAGGTTAATTGAAATAAAAAAAGTGAGTTCAACATTTTATTACCAGAGAAAAATACAGTCTTAACGATAAATTGTAAATAAAGGTTACGTCTTTGCTAAATTAATGTATTTATTAAATCTTGTGTCTATTTCATTGCTTTCCATTTCTAGTTGTTTTAACTTTTGTTTTGCCCTTAAAAGTATGTCTTGAGTAATGCTGTCACAGCTACTGTATGTTTCAAGCCTTTCGTCCACAAAAACTAGAAAAATATAATTTACAGGGTGTCCAAAAAATACGTGTACAACGAAATAGGTAAGATGTACACGTATAATTTGGACACACTTTTCTAAAACTTACTGTCCGACGCGCTGGTTTTATTGCTGGGCAATGGGGACGTTTCTTTATTGATTAAATCGTTTTTTTTGTTTATTTTCGAGGTTAAATAGGTTAGTTTTGTCTGCGCAGTGTTATAATCGTCCAACAACTGGTTGCATTTGGAAGTTAAGCTCAAAAGTTCCATTCTTTGTTCCGCACTTTCCACTGATAGTTTATTATTTTCTAGTTTTAAGTATTCTATTACGTTTAAAGCGTCTTTACACATATCGTTGCAGTGGCTTAATATGCAATCGTCATTTTTGGTTACTTCAATAATAATAGGGTCAGTTTGTGTTACTTTTTCCATTTTTTGTACATGCAAAGTTCTAAGTACTCTCTTTAATTCCGATTTTAGGCCTTTTTCATTTTCAAACAATTTATTTATATCCAATTTAAGTTCTTTATTTTCGTTTATCTTTTTGATGATTTTACTTTTTAATGTATCATTTAATTTCGATATTTCCGCAATTTTTGTGTCTTTTTCGTACAAGTTCTCCTGTAAACTTTTAAAAACATTGCTGAATTCATCGTCTTTTCTTGATAACTCCAATTCGTGGTGTTTTTTAGTCAAAGTGACTATGTGTGTTATTATTTTGGGCGATAATTGGGTTTGTTGTAATGTATTTCTAAGCAATTTTGCCAAAGGAAGATTTGGTATATCTAAAAAAGATTAAAATACTTTACATAAAGGCCTGAATGTAGGCAATCAGATTACTCGTTAATGAAATACTGGAAGACCAGACAGACTTTCGTATGTAATCTGTAGTCTGTGTTGCCTACCTACATTCAAACAAACACACTTCCACATTAAATTTTATAATAAAAGCTAAAGTAAGGTAAGGATGTAGCTGCTACAAAAACTTACCTATTGTAGATTCTGGTATTTCTTGATTTGCCACAGATATGGGATTGAAAGCATTGTTGGAAATATCACATAGAGCCCTTATAAGAGCATTTAGAAGGGAAGTATTGCCCCCACAACTGTAATACAAAGATAGTATTTGTTCACATTGCTGGCTGTGCTTTGAAACGCCATTTAATTCTAGGATATTAATGAGATTTTCTTGTGTAAACTGCCAATTTTGATACATGTTAGAACTGTCAAACAAACATTGTGGCAAGACACCGTTCAGTGAAACTTCAGTGGTGAACATTGACAATGAGTAATGGCAATTGTTTCGAATTAAATACTCTGCAATAATTAAGTTGATTGCTTGTTGGGCCAGTGTTGCTGTTTTAAACGGTTGTTTGACGAGGTTTTTGCCCACGGCTGTGTTTCTCAGGATTTCAATCATTTGCAGTCTTAAATGGCATCTCAAGTTTTTCAGCAAGCCTTTATCTTTGAACCAGCTGTGCAGCGTTTTTTGCAGCTCTTCAGAAGATATTTCTCTTTCTTCTTTGTCTTTTAGTATTGCTGGAGTTATATGCTCCATTTTCTCTTACTATTATTAGTTGAATTAACGTTTATACTTTGTAGAAATGTTTGTATACGTTCAAATTTTAAATTTAATACAAACATGCTGCTGTTAAGTTGGCAGCATTTCGGTGGTGCATTGGAACTACGGCGCACAGTGTTTTACGTGTTCTTTGCACAGTGGTATAATTAATTAATTTTTGTCACGATTCTGTTACCATTGTTAGGCAGTAGCGTAACTAGGGGGGGCAGGGGGGGCGGTCCGCCCCGGGCGGCACTTCTTGGGGCGGCAAAAATCGTGAGAGAAAATGCGAAAAAAACTGGAAGACAGAATATAAAAATAAAAAAAATATTTGATAATTAAATATTCTCTTTCGAAATAATATAATTCAAATTCCAATAGATTTGAGATTTATACAATTACTCCCAAAATATTCCAAATCAAATAAAGCTAGTTTTTCTTTACCTAGGTCTAAGAATTTTTGTTTGTTTTTAATTCTTAAAATATTACAATTTAATGTTATATATATATATATGTTATATATATAATTATATATTTTTAATTTTGCGTACGGTCCTCAAAACTGACTCCTAACCTAACCTCTCTTCCCCCCCCCAAAAAAAAACATGAGGGCGACAGCCACTGCTGCCCCGGGCGGCACTTTTTCTAGTTACGCCGCTGTTGCTAGGCACATGTTTATCGTTGTTAGGGGATATATTGCCTTAGTTACCGTGCGATTTTTGATATTTTTTCCGTGTTTTTATCATAAATAGAATGTAGGTGGGTGTTTATTATTGCGTTGCATGGCAACTATATGGTTGCCAGGCATTTGTTTACCGTTGCTAGGGACAATAGTTTCCTTAGTTACGACGGATTTAATTTATTTATAAAAGAAAAAAAACGCTGATTTTGTTACTGTTTCTAACACAAGAAACTACAAAAAGGAACCTGATAATTAAATAACAGGAGTGTATAGAAGTTGTCTTTATTGAGTTTTTTCCAATTACAATGGTAAGAAAATATAATTATCACTTTTTCTATAAGGTAGGCACAACCTTTTTTTAACAGTTCTGAGAATTATAGATTTTAAAGCTTGAAATTAAACAACATTATATAAAATATTAAAATGTAACAATTGGAAAAAATATTTAGGTTATTAGGTAATTGACTCTTGGGTAATAATTTATAAAAAAAACTTACGTATTAGACACTAAATACATTGTTAAAAAACTATAGTTACACTTAAATAATAAATAAACAAGTATTCAATATTTGCCCTTAAAACTAAGTCAATAATAAAATATGTTAAAAAAATAAAATACGGCATAAATTGAATACTCATTGTCCAAGTATTAAAACTTAAAATTATCCTCGTCTCATTAAAAAATTAACAAAAAGTATAAAATTCAAAAATGTACATTTAAATTCCTAAAAGCGGAAATTGGAGAGTTGGCACCAGTGATTCTCAGCCAGGATTTCGAAGGCGTACTGCTCAGTGGCGGATCGTGAATTTGGGAAACATTAAACGAAGAATTTGGAGTGCTCGGCATTTTTGCCTCCTTCTGTTTCAATTTTAAATGATTCGGACTCGGCCACCTGACAAAAATCGGAAAATCAGCATTTTGGGGTTAGGTTTGTGTCAAATCAGCACAAAATAACCTCAAAAAGACTTTATACGAAAAGTCATTTAAATTTTGATGAGTTTATGTTCATACCTATATCTCTTAAAATATTAATTTTAGAGATTCTACTCAAATAACCTTTTTTGTTTAAAACTAAATTCCCTACAAAAAATGTTATTTATTTTTCTCTCTAGAGTTGACGGTTTACAAGTTAAAAGCAAAAAACTATCACAACCCACATACCTTTCTCTTTCGCTCTCTGAATAGAGCGCTATATTGTGGCGCCATCTGTAGACGTTGGGGTGGGTTTTTTGGTTGAGAGCGCATTTGGAATATTTGAGGGCGTTGAACACATCGAAGTCAGTTTTGGTCGGTCGTATGCTAAAACAATTGCACCGGTTTACGATAACGATTAAATTTTCGTGGTGCATTTTTTTGCATACCCCTCTATAAAAACGTCATTTGCGGGAAGTTTGGTGTCGTTGAACTCGCTATCGGAGTCCGAGTCGTCGGGAAAACAGGGACTTGACGGGGGCGTGTAAAATTCTTCGTCCTCGGAAGAACTTTCAGTCATAAGTTCGTTCAGGCTCGAGTTTAAGGTGTTGTGGTGATTCAGATTGTGGGTCGCTAAATGTTATTATTAACTTTACATCAAGAAAATTAATTATAAATGGTTTCTTAAAAACGTTACGAAGAAAGTTATGGGCGCCGTTTTATTTTTTATTCAGGAATTGTTCTTATGTGTTAACACTAAAGTGATATTTTCAATTAGATACAAAATATTATAAAAGATTTTTTAATCTGCGAATTAATAAAAATTAAATTGTATTTTTTAATTTTAATTCGCTAAATTAAAAATATCATAGGAGAAATTTTTAAATGCCTAAAAAATATCATAGGAGGTATTTTTAATTGAATGTGATATTTTTAATTTAGATTGTTTGGACACCCCTGGCATTCCAGACTAATTCTGTCGCTAGATGGCGGCGCAATCACTGGGATCTACGACGTACGTGAGTCCGATGTTGCAGTGAACCAGCGTGTGCTGAACAAGGATAGTGCACGTTAGTTTGTTGTTGGAGGGGGTCGGTTTTTGTGGCGTTTTGAAATCGAATTAAAAATTTCTCCTATGATATTTTTAATTTAGCGAATTAAAAATATGTTTTTAACTAATACAAATACAAGAAGGAGATATTTTAAATTCACTATATTAAAAATTTGTTTAGCATAAAAAATTAAATCTAATTTTTAAGATATATGGGTGAATCTCACGAAATGTCCCCCGATGGTGTTACCCCGTGATATTTAATAAAACTAAATGAGTTTGACCTACACTTTTATTGTGTTTTGATCTTTCATAATTAAGTTGATATAACAGCTCAGGTTCCAGATTTTTAACCGCAATTAATTATTTTTTACAATGTTTTAAAAGTCTAAAACCTATCCTCCGTGACTGTTACTCTTTCTAGGTTAACCTATATGTTTTCAAATATCTGAGGTAGTAAAAGCATACTCAAAATAGCAGTTCACTAAGTAAATTAAACATATCCAAAGCAATCGAATCAAATATAAAATGTTAGTAAAAATTAAAAGAAATAATTTTTATAACCATTTATGTAGGTGAAATTGATTCTATCCTCCGTGAATCTGTTTTTGCTTTAAATTTTATTTTTATATATGTATTAAGGTGTCAAAAGATACAACAATATTTTCAAATATACAAAGAGATGTTTAAAAAAAACATACGAAATCCTAACCTCCATGAAGCTATCTTCCGTGAAGCTCTAATATTCAAAATGTATGATTTCTTAAAATTCTTGCATTAGTGCAGAACCACTTATGTTATGTTATTACTAGACCTGTTGGCTTCCCAAAAACCCCATTCTAGACTAACAGTGAAACAACAAAAAATAAAAAAATAATCATTTTCACTTGGGCGACTTCTCAATATATTATTACCCTTATATATTTGCATTTTTAATAAAACGGCGCCGCATATAAAGTCAAATTTATCTTTTACAATTAAAAGAAAATATAAAATGAAGAAATATTATAAAATGACAGGATATTACAAAATTCATACAAACTATTTATTTAACACTTTTTATAAATAGATTATTAATTCTTTTCATATATTAATTTATATATTTAATTAATATATATATATATTAATTCTTTTCATATATTAATTTCATATATTAATATATTAATAAACTCAAGAATTAACAATAACTTTTTACAAAATTATGGAATAATTTTAATTTTTTAACAGGGTTGCCACCGATTTGTCTAAACCAAATTCCCTGACTTTTCCAGGAATTTCCTGACCTTCCCTGATTTTTTTCCAGACAAAATGTGTTTTCTTTTTGGTTTCCTGACCCTCAATGATTTTTTCAACTGGACTTTGAGTGTTGGTTTTTAAAATTTTAGGTACCTATGTGGCCATTCAAGTATTACGTAAGCAGTAATTTTGTAATTATTAACCCCCCTTCCCTTTGTCAGCAAAAGTAAGTAAAGCTTATCATTAAAAATATGGTGCTTATGTAAAACTTAAATTTATTTTTCTCTTGGTGGAGAATTATAACGATTAAATAAAAAACTAAACTTTTATTGAAGTTTATAAAATTTAAAAACATTAACAAAAAATCAATACTTCTTATTAAAAAAAAATTCTGTAGCTAATTTTTTCGGGATAACTTTTAATTTAGGTTTTTGTTTCTTGGGTTTTCATTACATTAATTTTCTGTTCAATCTGAAAATAACAGAAATAATGAAATATTTAAAAATGCCTCTGAAATTTTTTTCTGAAAATTGTCGCCTGAATCCGAAAAGACCGTCACAGCAGTTTGTGAGACATAGTCAATTCCATATTATATGGAAAATTAAATAAATCTTAAAAACTATCCTACTTTTGTTCAGCAGACAATTTTACATAGGAATTTACTGCTATTTATCCGGGATACAAGTTGCTGTTGACTAGAATTATTAGTGGCTGCTTTTTCGCTATGACAATTAGTCATTTTTAACTAATTCATTTTTAGAGAGTAGTATTTTCCATCTGGTTCTTTTTTTTTAAGAAAATTTGACAAATTTGTGTTCTTCGTTGCCAAAATCGTTTTTTAATGGCCCGCACTTTTTAAGTGGCCTATGACTGCTTGCAAATCAAACATTTGGCTTGAAACGGTTTTTTATCAACAGGAATGATTTTTCAAAGTCTTTTACTGATTAATTAATTAGTTTATTAATTAGGCTTACCATTTACAAATATTAATCACCCTAAACATAAAAATAGTTGGTTATAGTTTTAGAAGGTTATAGTGATAAGTCGTGATATAGACTTCTAAGGCTATAGTGATATAGTGATAAGTTTGACATATAGCGCTGCCATATTTTGAATAAATTAAATTTAAATTACACTCGTTAACTAAATTTTTTTTAATGAAAATTTTGTTGACCAGTTTTATTTATAAATAACTAATTCCCTGACCGACTTAGGAATTCCCTGACTTTGTAGATTTTTTTGCCAATTCCCTGACATTTCCCTGACATTTCTAAAAAATTTAAATTCCCTGTAATTTCCAGGTTTTCCAGATGAGTGGCAACCCTGTTTAAGGTAAAACATCTTTGAAAGAAAAAATCAAAAGGGGTCGGGTCAAAATGGCTTAGAATTCATTATATACATAAAAACAATAAAAAACAAAAAGCACTCACCCACATCATCGTCATCGTCGAAACACAACTTGACCGAAACGTTCTCCACGCCGTTCCTGAACAGGTTCCTGTTTTTCAGGCTGCCGCTGCGCGACAGCGAGTTCTTCTTGGCTCTGCGCACGTGGTACGCGCACGCGCACTCCTCGCTCGCCTCCCAGTCGACGGCGCACGCGCACTCGCCGTCCAAGTCGAGCCGCGCGTCGTAGCGCGCCGCCATGCGCGCCAGCACGACGCGCACCAAGCAGATGAGCTGCTTCTTGTAGGAGGTGGCGCGCTTCGACTCGTCCGCGTCTCTGCGGTGACTGGCCGACTCGTCGTCCGAGGAAAAGTAGTCCAGCGAGCGCGTTATGCACTCGAGTAGATACTCGAGTTTATCGCACAGAAACAAGCGCGACTCTTCGTCGACGTTGTGGCGCAGCTTGTTGGCCACCAAGGCGCCCAGTCTGGAGTGGACCTTCTGGAAATTCACGCCCGAAAACCTGTTGTCTTCCATGTAACTCGTCACCAGCAACTCTAGCTGCTTCATTTCCGTCTCCAACACCGGCGCTATGTTGTTGTACTCGCTGCACAAAATGTAGAGGATGTCGTTGGAAATCCTGTTCGAGAACACCTGACAGGCTTTGTCGATGTAGAAAACCGGATTCAACTCGCTTTTGTCGTAACTTTTCGCCACCGGAACACTCTTACTATTAAACGAATCGTTCAAGTGAATACTTTGAAACGCCATGCAGAGATTCGTTATGGGACTCACCTAGAGATGTAAAAAACGGTTTTTTTCAAATTTGAAAAAAACGAACTTTTAAATCCGCTCTGTCAATAAATAACATCAATCTTAAAAAATTGAGTATTTTTCAGCAAAATGTATATTAAAAATCAAGTCAAATTTAGAATATATTCCATTCACGTTTATTGAAAATTTCGACTGAGACTAAAAAATTATAGTTTGAAAATTAAAGTTTAGCGATTTTTAATACCAAAATTCTCACATTACATTTAAATGTAAGTTTTGAATTTTAAAGTGGTAATTTTTGTATTAAAAATGTATTGACCATCATTTATATGACTCTTTACAAATTTAAAACAATTTTTAATTGATACAATTTACTTTTAAATGCAAGTAGATAATTTTTAATTTACAAAGTGTAAACAGCTTTAGAACGCTGTCTGCTGCATATGCAGTCAGATAAAGCCGCGTTTACACTTTGCGAATTAAAAATTATCTACTTGCATTTAAATGTAATGTTAATATGTTTGCGTTAAAAATGTATCAATTGAAATTTGTTTAAAATTAAAGTTATTAATTTTAATTTGTTAAGAGTTATTTAAATAAAAGTCGATACATTTTTAATCTACAAATTAACACTTTAAAATTTAAAAGTAACATTTAAATGTAATGTGAGAATTTTGTATTAAAAATTAAAATGACTCTTTACGAATTTAAACCAATAATTTTGTAGAATAAAATATTATAACTAAAATTAAAAATTTGCATATTTTGGAAGAAAATATTGTATATGTTTTTATTTTAAATGTCACAAAACTACTTGTAAATACTAAAAAGTTGAACTTTACCAATTTAATCTAAATAATTTAATTAAATATTTATTTAAGATTTACAAAACTCTGCTTAAATAAATTATACTTTAATTATTTTTATTAAATTTTGATTGTTAGAAATTGATTGGAAATAACATTGTTTAATACAAAAGTGAACTGTTAGTAAATGTTGTCGTTCAATACATGATAGTTAAAATATTTTAAATTTATTAATGTATTTAGTGGCTAAATTTAGTATATGAACTGGACTGGAAACATAAAAAAATAGGTAAATGGAACTAAACTTAAAAAAAACTAAAATACAGTTTCAGAATAAGATGCTGAACCTTAAGGGTGTGAATCCTTAGTTGATTTTAAGAAAAAAAGTTCAAATAAACCTACGACCTAAACCTCTTAATTTTTGAGTTACAGCGTGTTAAAGTTTTAAGAAAAAAATCGTTTTTTTTTATCATAACTTTAATAACTTCCAAGATATTTTTATAAAATTTGGCACACGCTTTTTAATTATTAACAGTAAGTTTTTGATGTAGAAGATTTTTTTTACCAGTGGCGTCCGTACAGGATGTGGTCTAGATATTTTTGGAAAAATATTATGCACGCCACTGCTATTTTTCAAAATAAAAAATATTTTTTAAATCCCCATTCATTTTATGGCAAATTTGATTTCTTGACCAATTTTCGTACGACTAACGGTTTTCGATGAAAAAAATAAAAAATCTTCTACATCAAAAACTTACTGGTAATGCTTAGAAGGCGTGTGTCAAATTTTATAAAAATATCTAGGAAGTTATTAAAGTTACGATAAAAAAAACGATTTTTTTCTTAAAACACCCTGTAACTCAAAAATTAAGAGGTTTAGGTCGTAGGTTTATTTGAACTTTTTTTCTTAAAATCAACAGCATCCTATTCTGAATCACCCTTTATAAAAAAAACATTAAAAAAAAAAACTGAAAACAAAAACAAACAAAACTGATCACTAGACTCACCACATCCAATTTATTGATTATCGTCGTCGGTTTTATGCTGAAAGAATCGTCCAACTCCTCCGAACACTTGTACAAATGTCCCTCCAGCAACTCCAAACCCCCCTCCGACGTTATATCGACGAAACTGTCCAAAAACGGCCAGTACTCTTTCCAGTTAACGTCAAGTTTTAGCGCCAAGTTGTTGCCGATCCTCTCGAGACCTTTCTCCGGGTCTTTGAACCTCAACGCCGAAACGTTTATCATGTCCTCGGGCGCTTTCTTCGCCACGGGCGAACTGAAACTCAAATTTCTCGGCGGGGTTTTCCAAATCTTTCGGAACTTTTCCGCCCCCGTTTTGTCCATCGGCCCGGCGTACGCGTGTATTTCCATGCGAGGGCTCAGCGGATTCGTGTTTACGACCTAGTTTTCGTCCGATTTTAATAAAATTTACAGAATTTGTAGCTTCATCTATCTACTTTATTGTGTTAAAATTTCAATCGAAAATTGCCGAATTTGATGTTTGCATACAGGGTGTTATGTAATTAATGTTATATATTAAAATACTGAATACCTTTTGACATAAGGAATAAAGGAAAAATATTTAAAAAAACATTTTTCCAAAGATAAAGAAAAAATATGTCAGAAGTTTTTTATATTTTTTGTGATACGCCACTGTTTACACACTTGTTTATCTCTGCACACCTGTATTTTGTGAGTACATAGATACCAACCAACAAAGTAGCTATGCGTTGCCAGATGTAAAAAAATTGTTACTAAAAATTTTTCTTGCAAAAAATAAAAACTCAATAAATACAAAAGTTTTATGCCCTTAAAGCTCTAATACCCTTCTGTATTTATTTACTGATCCAGCTATTAGCTTAAGCAATGATTAGAAAATTTAGTACCTTTGAAATTTGAAATCCATAACCACAAAATTATTTTTTTTCTCTGTTTACTCAGATGAAATTGGGACCAGTTCACAGGTTAAACTTTAAACATTTAATTTGTGTAAATAAATACAAAAGCACTTCCCTTAGTTAAGATATTTACAATTTGAAAACATAACCTAAAATTTAAAAGAAATGCACTAGATTCTGTCATAAAAGTTGTCAGATTTTGTTTGAATTTACCTTCAGTAAAAAAATGAAATAACCAACAATTAATAATAACGCCAAATTGACAATTTGCATTGTTAATTTTGTCATTTTTATAATTAAGCTAAATTTAAACAATGTTTGTCAACTTTTTTAAGAGATTTTGGAAACACTGTTACCAACCATAACATAATAAATCCACCAGATTAACCTAAAGTTTCTAGTCGATCAGTGGCGTACTTTTTGGTAGGATAAAGGTTATTATAAATTAATTTTAGACTTTGGAATTTAGAAAAAAAAAGTTTCAGGTGCTTCTTTATGGACCCTAAGGAACAACCCATTTTAATATATAACATTAATTACATAACACCCTGTATAAAAAACCATGCAAACATTCGAATTCGGCAATTTTCGGTTACAATTTTAACACAATAAATGGGGTAGTTAAATTTTTTCTGACCCATACTTTTTATGGTTTTATTCAAGGCGTTTTGTAATTTTAAACATTTCTGTGAAATCGGAATTTCAATTGAGTTTACCGTTTTCGAGATATTTACAAAAAAAAATCTCCTAATTACGTCACTAGGCTATTGACAACGTTGCCAGCTTTTTCTATGGTTGCCAGTGTGTTTAGTTTAAGATTCTTACGATAGATGGCGCCACGTTATAATATTTTAGTTTTAAAACCACTTGATCTATAATTTTAGTTGAGAAGAAGAAGAAAAATTGATTTTTTGACGTTTCTTTTTTTCGGGTTATGTTTTTTTAAATTTAGATTATTGAAAATCAATGTTATTGTTATGTTATTTGTAATTGATATTAGATAAGTGATTTATTAATAACGGACTCCAAAGCAGAGGAATCTTGTGGAATGGTTGAACATTGGAGCTTTTAAACAAATAAAGTAAGTAACAATAATTATAATCATATTTTGTCGTAAATGCATTTCATTAGTATAATGCCTAGTTCTTTATATTCTCTTGGACTCTAAAATATCAAACAGTAATATGATCCCTCGTAATAAGGAAGATAGGTACTTAATGAATTTGGTGACCAAAAATGTACTCTAGAGCGTAGTATCTTCATACAGTCCAAAAGTTTGTCATACATTTTTTTAATCTTAATAGGTTTTGATGCTCATCAGGGATGCAAGTTTTATAAAAACTATACACAAATATCATAAATACCATTTTTAACTTACATTTACTGTTATTTTTTGTAAATTTATTTCATTCATTTTCAGCTTTATTTTGCTACTTTTTTCTATGAAATATATTAAACTCTGCTTTAGACAGTTATTAGGTACCTATTTATTACATTTTATTAGGTTTCACACAGTGTTTCAATGTGTAAAGGCTTTGTTATCTATGGTGTAAACCTATCAATAAAACTTTTAATTTCAGAATTTTCTTTAACCTCCTCTTCTTCTTCTTTTACTCAACTGACAGTGACAGTATTTGTACATAACCTCTTTGGGTATTTTCTGACATAACCAAATGAAATCATTAACAAGACAACTTGACAACAGGGTAATTTTCAACCAATAGAAATCTTAGAATGTTGGTCACATGGCGAGGTTTGTGACGTCATAAAAATTTATATTTTTTGTAAATATCTCGAAAACGGTAAACTCAATTGAAATTCTGATTTCACAGAAATGTTTAATATTACAAAACGCCTTGAATAAAACCATAAAAAGTATAGGTCAGAAAAAATTTAACTAACCCATTAGATAGATGAAGCCAAAAATTTTGTAAATTTTATAAGGAAAATTGCTTTTTTCTTACCAGTGGTTCTGTAGGCGAAAACAGTTGTCCTATTACCGGGGGGACGCTTCTGTCCTCCGACCTTAACACAGGTACATAATAGTTTTGCTGCAGCAAAACTGATATGCGTTTTTTCGCGGCTGCGCAGTTTCCTTCCACCTTCTCGCAGTTAATCTGTAAGAGAGAGAGAGAAAATAGCAATGGAACAAAATCGCGTGTTGCTCACCTCTAGGGCGGTCATGTGGAACTTGTTCCTCAAACTGCGGTCGCACTCCGGGTAGGAGACCAGAATCTCGACGACTTCGTCGGCGCCGTGCTTGGCGGCGAAATGCAGCGGCGTCTCGTTGAGGCCCTTGTTGGGGGTGTTGAGGTAGAGGTCGAGCAGGATTTTGGCGCGTTGCTCAGCGTTTTCGGCGTTGTCGTCGCCGTAGAGGAGCTTTATGAATTCCGCGTTGGAAACCGTGTTCAAGACGAGCTCGGTGATGGGCGCGTTCTTCGATTTCGCGCACACGTGCAGCGCGTTGTAACGCGCACCCTCCTACAAACGACAATATAATGTAAAAAAATACCATGAAATAATTTGTTTTTTTTTAAACTACAAGGTTTTGTGCTGACTCATTTATGAAAGTTTATATTTTAGTTTCGACTAGTGGGAATAAGGAGGTCTAACAGATTCAAATTGTTAAACACATTTATTAAAAATTTGAACTGCAAATATTAAGTTTGGCAATAGTGTGGTAAAAGCCGTTTGACAGATGTCAAAGTGGAAAAAGTGAGGTTAAACCCGTATGACAGATTCAAATTGGTAAAAAAACTTTTCAAATTTGGAAACAGTGTGCTGAAAGCTGTTTGACAAATCGGTACCTTAGAATGACAAGGTTCTAAGTGCAGCTGCACTGTTAAGCGAAAGTGACTTTATCTAGAATATTAAATATTGCAGATAAGGCATTTTTGCTTAACATGACAACTGCACCTAGAACCTTGTCATTCCAAGGTATCAAAATGTCAAAGTGAAAAAAAGTGAGGTTAAGTCCGTCTGACAGATTCAAATTGGTAAAAAAAACTTCTCAAGAGCACTCATTTACTTAAAATTTGATCCACAAACATTAAATTTGAAAAAAGTGCGGTGAAAGCCGTTTGACAGATGTCAAAGTGGGAAAAAGTGAGGTTAACCCGTCTGACAGATGTCAAAGCGGGAAAAAGTGAGGTTAAACCCGTCTGACAGATTCAAATTGGCAAAAAAACTTCTTAAGATCACTAGTTTATTAAAAATTTGATCCGCAAACATTAAATTTGAAAAAAGTGCGGTGAAAGCCGTTTGACAGATGTCAAAGTGGGAAAAAGTGAGGTTAAACCCGTCTGACAGATTCAAATTGATAAAAAAACTTCTCAAGATCACTATAGTTTATTAAAAATATGGTCCGCAAACATTAAATTTGAAAAAAGTGTGGTTAAAGCCGTTTGACAGATGTCAAAGTGGGAACATGTGAGGTTAAATCCGTCTGAAAGATTCAAATTGGTAAAAAAATTCTCAAAATCACTCATTTTAAAAAAAATTAATCCGCAAACATTAAATTTGATAAAAGTGTGGTGAAAGGCGTTTGACAGCTGTCAAAGTGGGAAAAAGTGAGGTTAAACCCGTCTGACAGATGTGTAAAAATTGAGGTTAAAATCTTTTGACAGATGTCAGATTGGTAAAAAAACTCACTCTATAAGATCAGCTTGTGCATAATTAAACTCGTGTATTTAATGGGGTTTACAAAACTATTTCAAATTATTATTTACATTTAAAATAGTAGAATTTGTAAAAAAACCTGAGCAATATTATTTTGAAAAAATTCCTTATCATTTTGACCTACTTTTAACAATTTAAAAAATTTCTTACTTTGCAAATGACTTTTTAATTATAGAGATAAATTAAATAGATACAACTGAACAACCCACATACATTAAACACAAGCTTAATCAAAACATTTTAATAACATTACTACGATTTTTCACATAATAAAACCATTGAGTAAGATTCTTTACTCAATGATAAAACCAAATAAAAAATGTTCTCAATGACAAGGAACACATAATTTATGTATTATGTATTTAGGCCACAATTTTTGTCACACATTGTACATACTTACTATTGACAACATTAATCAAACTATTAACATTTTATATCAGGTTTTAATAATTATATATAATGGCTTTAAAACACAGTACCTATTTATATAGTACTTATTTACCTGTAAAATAGAGGGTGTATCTCCACTGCTAACTAAATACCTAGGATTTTGCCATATTGTATCTTTAACAACCTTATAAAGCCCATTTTCAATGGCTTTTCTTAACTCTACCAACTCCTGTGGTTTTGGGCCTTTAAAAGGGCTGGCTTTTTCCCCGATACCATTTTGTGGCTGTTCCTGGGGCAAATAGGAAAACAAAGGCCCATCGACTGTGGTATTGTTGTTTGGATGTTCAGAACCGTTCAGAGCGAATTCCACTGCCTCGTGATAGAACTGGAACGCCTTGAACCTGGATTTTTTGTTTTTTTTTGTGAGTTTTAGGGCCTCGATTTTATCAGTGAATATGTTAAGAGCCGGGTCGTAGTTTTCATTTGGCGTGTACACTCCATAGTACACGGTGTGGTTTCCATTTTTTTCGGTATTCGGAAGGTTGTCTACAGTTTCTGGTACCTTATTAGGTTCCATTTATACGGTTTTTTTTCGTTCACTATTTTATCCGCTTTATTCACGACCAAAGCACGAATGTATAATTTTTTTGTGTGGTGTATTATAAATATTTGCGATTAGCGATAAAATTAACTGGAAATAAATATTACAGAATGCTAGATAAGTTATTTTCTTGTTTTGTTGTTGTATTAAATTTTGACATCATTCTACTAAATAGGGTTTTTTGTTTTATAATGTTGGCAGCAAGTATAATATTCTCAGAAGATAAGCAATGTCACCAACGCTAAAAAAGTCTATAATATAGATGAATTACTTCGATTTGTATTAATCCCGCTTATGTAAATGTAAAGCCAGCAATTTAACACCAAAATTGATTTATTTGAGTTAAGAAATAATAAATCAATAAAATTGCATAAAATCAACACAAACATAACCTCAAAAATCAAACAGGTGTCCAGGTATATTACTCATACCTGTGATATCATTTATCGTTTTTATTGGAATTTGAGTCATTATAATGGCTGGTGGTGAGGAGACGCGGAAATCTACGGATTCTTTAGCTCAGGAGAGTTCCATTATTGATACATTTGCTCCTGAAGCTAGGTTCGAGTGTCCTATTTGTTTGGCTTGGCTTAGGGACCCTGTTGTTACTGCCTGTGGTCACAGATTTTGCAGGGGATGCATTTATTCTTGGCTTGAGTGAGTAAAATATTTTTTTAAATTTTTGTTCCAACAATAAAATATTCTGATCTCTGAATAATTTTCATCATGTTTTTAATATACCAACAAAACATTTTTAGGCGCGAACATGCTTGCCCTGTCGATAATATGAAATTAGATGTGGAAAAGGACATATTCCCCGACAACTTCACTAGAAGAGAAATTTCTCAGCAAAAAGCAAGGTGTCCCTATATCGTTCGTGGTTGCATAGAAGAATTATCTCCTCTGGATGTGGAATCTCACATGATTATTTGTAAATTTAGACCCCCTGAACTGCCGGAAAACGAAAAATTGCGCTGCCAATTTGTTGATGTTGGGTGTACTGATAAGTTTGAGGACGAGCCCGAGTTACAGAGACATTTAGAAAGTGAGGTTACAAAGCATTTATCGGTAAGCCACTTTAAAAGGTCGCAAAATAAATGTTACAGTTTTATTTATTTTGTAGCTATTATCGCAAGCTTACACGAAAATAACTATAAGTAATCAAGCATCAACAAGTGCTATAGCACAGCAGGCAAATTTCTGGGATCCCCCTGCAAAAAACGAACAAGTTTCTACAAGTGAAGCTGATGAAGGCGTGAATGCTTTACTAAGGTAAATATGTTTCAGGAAAACGACCAAATTTGAAATATTTTATGAATTTTTAAAATGTATTCCATTTTCAAAATTTTAGAAATTTAGAAATTTTTAAAAACAGAATTTTTAAAAAAATTTGAAATTTTGGAAATTTTTCCTCCCATTTTTAAAATTTTTCCCACTGTGCGAATTTTTCCCACCATTTTTAAATTAATCCCACTGTGCGAATTTTTCCCACAATTTTTAAAATTTATCCCACTGTGCGAATTTGTCCTACCATTTTTTAAATTTAGTCTACTGTGCGAATGTGTCCTACCATTTTTTAAATTTATCCCTCTGTGCGATTTTTTCCCACCATTTTTTAAATTTATTTATGTAAGGCACTTTTTAATTATCCAATCATATTTTTTAAAAATGACACTTATGCCACCTTTTGCTCTCCTGATACTTACAGGTATCGTATTTTCCCTGAGATGGTGTAAGCTGTGACGTCGCCTTCTAAAATTTTACAACTTATACATACCTACTTTACATTTTATATTTTTCTTATTATTGATATGAAATCCTATAAGAATCTGTTTTCATTGATTTAAAAAAAAAATTGGCAAATGTTCCGACAAATGTTCTTCTTTAGGGCAATGTACGAGAAAATTGTGGTTCTAGAGCAAAAATCCAGGGAACAAGACATAATAATATCGAATATGTCCGAACAAATCAATTCGTTAAACTTATCGATGTCTAAAATGCAATTAAGACATTGCAATGGCTGTTATTTGTGGTATATCAACGATTTTAAGAACAAAATAAAGGATATGCAGAAAGACCATCATCTTATGTTTTATAGTCCTGGATTTTATACCTCTGCTAATGGATATAAGTAAGTTTTTCTAATGTTTTTTTATCATCAAAATGACAAAATTTTGTTAAACAGTCAATGGGTATCTCCCCACAAAAATGAGCTTTTTAGGGCCAAAAAATAATATTTCTTACAAAAACGACTTTTTGTGCTTTAAAAAACAAACATTTTTTAGATTGTGTGTACGGCTAAATTTATCACCCAGAGACCCAAATTATATCGCTATATTAATTCATATGATGAAAACTGAGCATGATAACACATTAGAATGGCCATTTAGTGGGAGATTATCAATAACAGTTATCCATCCAATGTAAGTACTACATTTATATATTTCTCAAAAATTAGCAAAAAATATTTTGCTCAAATGTGGGATAAATTACTAAATAAATCAATTTAAGTGAATCCTATAGAAATATCAAAGAAACTATGATGACACGTCCGGAGTTGGAAGCGTTTAAACGCCCTGTACAGGATTTAAATCCCCGAGGGTTTGGTTATACCGAGTTTGTCTTGGTGGAAGACCTAAAAATTCAGGAATTTATGAGGAATAATACTCTTGTTATTAAAGTGCAAGCTCAACCTGTCTAAAGTATTAATTTTACCGAATAGCTTTAAATTATTGAGATTATTTTTATACTAGGTTAATTAAATGATGTACATAGTGCCAAAAGTATTTTACTTACTATTTAGGTGCTAAATTCAAAGTTTACATCACATTTTAAATGTTATTTACTTGGTAGATACGTCCAAAATTTTACAAAAATAAATTTTGAAACCATTAAGTATTAAAAATGTTACAGTTTTAATATTTGTTATACATATAAAATTGTTTAGATTTACACAAAATATTGTCCAAAATGTTATACATTCCATTTTAAAAATGATAAATAAAGTTTTTTAATAAACACGCCATTATTTTATTTTTTAACCCCCCAAAAAGATGCGATTTTGTAAAAAAAAATGTTTTTGTTACAATATACAGTGTGTCCCCGAATCGGGTTGACAACTTTTTTGTTTTGCGTTTTACGAAAAAAAATCATGTTTTTTAAAAACTTCCGTTGTTTAAAAATAAGATTCCGATAAAAATGGGTGGACAAATTCGCACAGTGGGATAAATTTAAAAAAATGGTAGGACAAATTCGCACATAGGGACAAATTTTAAATATGGAAGGACGAATTCGCACAGTGGGACAAATTTAAAAATTTTAAGGACGAATTCACAGTGGAATTCGCACATTGGGATGTATTTATAAAATGGAAGGACAAATTCGCACAGTGGTACAAATTAAAAAAATGGTAGGACATGCTTGCAAGGGCAGTTTTCAATTAACCAATCATATTTTTCAAAAAACGACACCCATGCCAAAAAATTAATTTCTGAACACCCTGTAATTTAATTTTTTTATGGGAATCACATTTTATATTTAGATTTTTTTTTTGTAAAACCTTATCTGGGGATACTGTGTTTATTTTTTTCATTCAAATTCTTTGGTAATGTACAAATGGGTACTTTAAACCTTGTTAAAAACACAATTAAAATTAAAGGCAAAAAACTTATTTATTTGTTGGAAAATAATTTTAATAAAACAAGTTTTCACACTAAAAACATAAAAACAGCATTATAAGCAAAACTTATTTACTTAGAAAATAATGTGTACAACAAGGTTTCAAACTTAAAATATAAAAACAATGAGAACATTTTTTTGTAAACCTTAATCATCTAATGGTCTTGTTTCCAAATACATGAGTGTTTCTTCTTGAGACATATTGTGGACATCCATAAAAACCTTGGTGCAAAATTCCGGCAAAAGCACTTTGAAAAAATACTGCGTCAACTTATCGTCGGGATCGAAATTTTCCGACAGCAAATTCATCATGTGTTCTATCTGATCGTGGGAGAACACAATCATGCTGGTGTTGTATGTTAAGTCTTTGGTGGTTAAATCGTACTTTACGTTGTAGTTGTGAAATCGCGAATGCCTCTCTGAGTATTTTTCTCCTGAGATTATCTCTGATAAATAACATTTGTTTTTGTTGAATAAGTCTGTCAGTTCAGGGTTTGTTAAGTGCTTACAGCCCAGTATGTTTTCTTTTCCCACTTCATTATCTGCACTTTTGTTCAGTGAAAACGTTAGGTCCAAGGATATATCTTCAATTTGTCTGGCCTCTTGTAATTTTTGTTTCTGGGTGTCCAATTTTTTTTTGTCTTCCAAGATATCATCCAGGGTTGGCATTAAAACCCCATATTTTTCAAAGGAGTCCGTTCGAGTTAATTTGATAGGTTTTTTTTTTGATTTAGGTTTTTCAAAATCATCCTCCTGAGATTTTGATTTGGAAGATTTTTTAAAATCATCTTCAAGAGATTTGCTCATTGGCTTTTTCTTTAGGTTTTTTAAAGTTTCTCGGTTATTTTCCAAATCTTTAAGCAATTTTTCTTTGCTACACCAATTTGTGATCTTGTTACTTTGTGGTATAAAACTTTTTTTTGGACTTGGTTTCCTTACCACTCTTTTAGGACTCTTAACTTTATTCTTACATTTTTCAGCCTTATCGGTGTTTTTTTCTCCTTGTTCATCAGGTTTTTTGCCAAACAATCTTGCAATTAGAATATTAGTGGATTTTTGATCTGCCATTGTATTTCTAAATATTAACCTACATCAAATATATATTAGTCATTCAATTCTACTGACAACATCATTTTTTACCTTATAAATCATAAAATATTTAGCGGCAAAACCTAAAATTGTTGACATTTCTTGAAAAATGACGTTTTAAAAATACTATCATAACCTCAATAAATAACGACCAACGACATAGCCCGACATGGATACAAAAATATAACTTTCAAGGTAAATTTTTCGTTTTTATGTACCTTTTCTATTGTAAAAATCGTCAAAAATGCATATTAAAATAAAAATTATTAGACGTAAAAGGGAAATTTATTAAAGTATTGTTTACTATTGCGTACAAATTAATTTTTTTACACGATTTAAATGGGTTTTATGTTTATGGCGTTATGTTGGTAAAAAATAAAATTATAAATATAAATTCAGCCCACATAAAATTGTATACTTTTGCTGTAATAAATTATTTAAGTAAATTAATATTGATTTTTCTGTAGGTTGGTACCGCAAAATAAAAAACTGGATTGGTGTTCTTTGGTTGGTAGTTTGTCCGTCATAAATTAGGTTATGTTTTTGATTATTTTCATGTTATAATTTGCAGAAAATCTCGATATTTAATAATAAAATAACATGTCGAAGTCCAGCGAGGATGTTTTATTGCAAGTTTCAAACGTTAGATACAAAAAAGGCGACGGGACATTATTTTTGATGGACACAAGATTAATTTGGATGGTAGAAAATAGAGATACGGTTGCGGTTTCTCATCCCTATGCTGATATTAAATGTGCTTAAATTGTACGATATTTTATTGCAAATGTAAGTAAAATTACCATTTTTAGCACAGAAAATATCGCCTGAAGGTAAAGCAAAAGTGCAGCTGCAAGTTGTGCTACACAGTGGCTTATCTTCGACGTTTCACTTTTCGAATCGCAATGGGCAGCAAAGCCAAATACAAGACAGAGACAATGTCAAGGAAATGCTGCAATCGTTGCTGCCAAAATTCAAACGCAAGATCGACAAAGAACTCGAAGAAAAAAATAAACTGCTTTCCAGCAACCCGTCCCTACTGCAACTCTACAAAGACTTGGTAATGACCGAAATTGTTTCTTCCGAGGAATTTTGGACGCAACACGCCGCTCAGTATACGCAGAAGCAGAACCAGCCCCCCCAAGATATAGGTTAGTTTTTAACTTGGGTTGAAAGCATTTTTTAGAGTAAAAATATTGTAAAAACATGTTTTAAAAGGTTATAAATAGAATTGTTTAAATATTTAGGATTCTAGTTTCTTGTGATTTTTCTCACAAATTACTATAAAAAATAAATTTATATCATATCACAAAAATATATTTTTAAACTATAAAACTAATGTTATGGCAATCAACAGTCTTTTTGGATTTTGCTTGGGTTATGTCATATTTTATTTTAACATGCAGGTGTTTCTGGGGCTTTCTTGGCTGATATTAAGCCTCAGACTGATGGTTGCAATGGTCTCAAGTACAATATAACTCCAGATATTATAGAGTGCATTTTCAAGACATATCCTGCTGTAAAGAAAAAGTATATTGAGAATGTTCCAGCAAAGTTAACAGAGGCTCAGTTTTGGACCAAATTTTTTCAATCTCATTATTTTCATAGGTAAGTGCATTATTAACTGTTACAGCAAATTGTAATTTTGTGAAGTAATTTTCAAAAAAACTTTGTCATCAATTTTTTTAAAGATAAGGTTAAATTAGAGTGGGGAAAGGGACAGATTTTTTGTTTTGCTCATGGTACAAGAAAACAAGCTATGTTCTTTGGTAGGACAAATTTTGGTTCACTGTGCATCACCCAGTTACCGCCATCTTAGTTTATTCCCCCCTTTGAATTTAAATGATGTTTTAAATTTTAATTAATTTAAATTTGTCGATATTTAGATTAATCGAATAATTGGAAGATCACACGTAAAAAACGATCTAAGTCACAATATTAACATTTCAAGAAAATATTATTATAATGAAAAAAACTATTTTATATTTTTTTCAATGAAGTAAATTATTGTTTTAAATTACCCGGACAACATTCGTGATATTCATACGAACATCATGTCGTGATTTTCACAAATTTTATTCATACTGATATCATACGGAAGTCAGCGCGTGATAAATGAAAATCATACGAACGTCACGTCGTGATTTTCACAAATTTTATTCATACGGACATCATCCGGATGTCACTGCGTAAAAAATGAAAATCATGTCGTGATTTTTTATGCCAACGGTGTTTGGATAATCATTTTTGCGCCACGTTCGTACACTAAGAGAAAAATTATGTTGAATCAACAGTTTTTTGGGTTAAATACATTTAATATTTTCTTGGATTTAAATTAGTTTTGCAAATATCACACCGTGAGTTCTACATGATATCACTGTGATAAAGCATGTGTATGCACTCAGGATATCACAGCGTGATAAAAAAAATCACGTTGTGATATCATCATGACTTCGCCAGGAATTCCCGATTGTTGTCCGGGTAAATAACATTTACTAAATACCAACAAAAAATATGAAAAAAGTGCTAAGAAAAATTTAATTTTAGATTTTGATTAAATGTTTTAAATAATGGGTTTTAAAATAAAATAGGTATTTTAATTTAAAGCAATTTATAAGTCAAATGTTTTTAATAAAATAAAATGTCCTGTTTTAATTTAAAAAACTTTTAAAGCAAATATAAATAATGAAAAGAAATGTTTCAAGTTACAACATTAACATTGCAAAAAAAATGTTAACAACATATTTTTTCTAAATTTATTTGTTACAAAATTGTATTTACAAATAATTACAATTTAGGTTTAGTTGCCAAATAAAAACCCTAAATAATAATAAAAGAAACTAAACTTTTGAAAAATATTATATTATGTTATGGTATAAGCTGGTTTTCAAATACTTTTGGGATGTTTCAATCCCAGGCCATTTCATTATCAGCAACATGGTATAGTTTAAGTTTCTGTCATGGACTGTCCTTGAAGATCATTAGCTTTCTTGTCTTGGCACATTTCCTGCACAATGCAAAAAAAAGATTTAATTTTGTTTTTCAAATTTTATTTTAATTTTCCGTTATGGGCTGTTTTCAAAAATCACATTTTGCTTCCTGGTTTTGTTCTATTTCCTGTACACTGTAAAAAGAACTATGTTGTTTTTTCCAATTTTATTTTAATTTCTTATAAGTATTTGATTTCTCTTTTGATAGATCTGCTAAGTTGGAACCGTATCCTTTTATGGGAATGTAGATTGTATGTTTTTTCGATCCAATATTCCTTCCTATAACTTTCTTTGAAGTAAATTGAACAAATACATGCTACAAAACAAACAAAAATATTAACCTAAATTATTTTTTTATTTATATTTCTGTCACAGATAATCTGTGTATACAAAAGGAAAGTACCTCTAAAAAAACTACTGCTATTTAATTGTTTTTAAAATAAATCTACTTACTATCCTTAACATCAATTTTTTCAAGCCATACTAAGGAAATGTATTGGATTTACAGGTTTTTTTCTTTTGGCATTGTTTTTACAGATTTTCACTTGGCATTTTTTACACTTACAAAACATTAAAATAGCTTAAAAAACAACTCATATCAAAATGTAAATAGTCAATATGGCGGCGACTGGGTGCTCTCGCCTCTTCGCCAATCCGATAGAGTGGTGGAAACAGATGCGCAAGAACATACCTTGTTTACTTGTACTAAGTTGCGGCAAATAGATGCTATACTTTAAGTTAATATAGGGATCGTAAATATGCGGAGAGCAAGGATTTGTTCACCGAATGCGGCAAAATAGACGATCAAGAGATGAAAAAAGACATTCAAATAGGGGTGGACGATTCCTTGGTGAACATAGGCGAGTTCGATGATAAAATCTACGACGGAGGTTACGGCGTGCCGAACGATAAGCCGAACACGCTGGGCACGGTGAGCCAGGCCATGATAAAAAGGTTCAACCAGCACTCGATTATGGTGCTCAAAGCGACGAAAAATAAAGCCGGCGATAGCGCGGAAAACGTCGAAACCAAACCGGACGAACCGCAAACGAAAAAGAGGCGGCTCCTCGAGACGCTCAACTACGAGGATTTGGGCGACGAGGTCGAGGAGAGCGGCAAACAGACGCAACTCAGCCTCTCCAAAGTGGAGAGGTACCTTCACGGACCGATGCCCGACACGGTGAGGGAGCACGTGAGCCACGCCGAGGCCTCAAATGCGGCTAAAAGTGCAGTGCAGGAGTCGCGGCAGTGGAACAGCCGGCACAGCAGCAGTTTGGTCAGCCCTGCGGCAGCCGTGAGCGCCTTGGGCGAGCTGTCGCCAGGGGGCGCTTTGATGAAGGGTTTCCAGGAACATTCTCTTGCGCGTAAGTACCTTTTGTTTCTATCATGTTCTGTAGTTAAAAAAAATTATAAATAATAATTATTACTTATAACTTTTTATTACACATTAATCATTAATACTAAATGTATTGGTGAGACAAGTATAAAATTTGTAATTTCACAAATCATTTTCTAAAATCAATTTAAAAGTTTAAAATTCTTTTGTGACAAAATATAAATTATTTTACAAAATATGAGTATTATAATTTATAACATTTTTCAAATATTCTCACAAAAATGCATTTTGAAATGATTTTATTAAATAATTTGTCCAACTTTTTACTTTTACTGTTCTAATGCCCCACTGTGCGAAACCATTTCTTCAGTATTGAAGTCGAAAAACTACCGAAAGATAGTTCGGTAGTCGGCCATATAACTACCGATAGTTATCGATAGTTTTTTTTTAATTTTTAGTTGTTGTGTTGCCCAAGCACGTTTTGTGATAGAGTTGTATTTTGTTTTTTTTTTTCATTTTCTAACACTAAGGTATTGCATTTATTTAAAGTTAAACAATTTTCTGTTATACTGTTACTTTTATTCGTTAGATTGGGGTGTTTTTAGTATTGCGAATAGGAACGTGCAAATATTAATAAAATACTCATCCGAATTTTGCGGATGCCCCTTGGTCGGTGAGGTGATTATGCACCTTAGGTATTCTGGATTTAAAATGCTGGTTATTTTTAATGCTGGTTATTTTTGTATCATTTTTGGATTGATAGAAATATACGTCTGACTGGTACAAGCGGTACTGTCGCACTGATAATATGTTTATTTTTTAACATAAAAGTTAATATTTGGCAAAAGAAAATTCTTGAAGTAACCATATTTTGGTTTATATATTATTGGTAATAATTTGTTATTGGGTCAGAATTTCTCAAACGGGCCACCTGAATTAGGTCAAAATTAGTTTTTGTTTGTAGATACATTTTTTTGATAGTATTTTACATCACTAACACAAATCCTAAAGGATTTTGTAAAAAAAAAATTTTCAATTGACATATTCATGATATTAAAAGTCAAAGTTTTTAATAATTAAAAAATAAAAAAATTCATTATGGCTGAACTAATTATCCGATTCCAACGATATAACTAGCGTTGGAATCTTGTTTTGACATAGATTCTTTGTTATTTTTTTCAATTGTCCTATTTTCATTTAGGTCGATTTTTTTTTGTTTTTTTTATACCAAATTCGGAAATAATTGCCTTCTGCGCCAGCTATCGACTCGAGAAAAAAAACACATATACTCCAATCATTTTTCGAAATTATGCTGCTGAGAAAAAAAATGGCCCGCAGGTTGACAAAAAGTTATTCGTCCTTTTGTGGCCGCGCGCGGTGTCAGCTCACGCTCCGAACCGCGTACGCTGTACGCGCTTGTGACGCGACGTCTTACGGTGGTCTGGAACCTGCGGGCCATTTTTTTTCTCAGCAGCATAATTTCGAAAAATGATTGGAGTATATGTGTTTTTTTTTTCGAGTCGATAGCTGGCGCAGAAGCCAATTATTTCCGAATTTGTTATAAAAAAAACAAAAAAAAATCGACCTAAATGAAAATTTTACAATTGAAAAAAATAACAAAGAATCTATGTCAAAACAAGATTCCAACGCTAGTTAAATCGTTGGAATCGGATAATTAGTTTAGCCATAATGATTTTTTTTTATTTTTTAATTACTAAAAACTTTTACTTTTAATATCATGAATATGTCAATTGAAAATTTTTTTTTTACAAAATCCTTTAGGATTTGTGTTAGTGATGTAAAATACTATCGAAAAAATGTATCCACAATCAAAAACTAATTTTGACCTAATTCAGGTGGCCCGTTTGAGAAATTCTGACCCTATTATATTATTATTAATATTAAATTAAATATAATTAAATATAAAAATAAAATAAATAAAAAATCAAAGTAATTAAATAATTAATTAATAATAATTATTAATTAATAATTAATATTAATAAAAAAATCAAAAAAAATTCTAAACAAATTAAAAATCAAATTAGGAAAAATTACAAAACTATTAAAAAAAAATAAAACAATCGAAAAGTCAAAAAATATATAATGTATAATAATAATTAATAATATGTGGATATATAATATTAATTAATAATAATTTATTAATTATTATTAATATTAATTAATTAAAAATAAAAAAATTAAAAAAAAATAAGAAAATAAATAATTAATAATTATTATTAATAAAAAAAATTAAAAATCAATAAAAAATGAAAACAATTTTTTTAAACAAATTAAAAATAAAATCAGGAAAAATTGAAATAATTATTAATAAAAAAAATTGAAATTCAATTTTTGTAAATAAATAAAACAATCGAAAAGTAAAGAAAAATTGAAAGAAAAAAGTAAATAAAAAATAAGAATGGAACAAGAAAAACATAAAAAATTAATAACAATTGGGTAAAAATGAATGAAAAATAAAAAAAAGTATCGAGTGGCGAAAGGCGGCAATTTCTTAATAGTGTGAAGTTACACTATTTTTCATGACAAGCGCAACGGAAATTAGACTTTTGAGAGATTGCGTTTTTATATATCATTGAGCGGAGCATAGTGAAGTTAACGAATAAACGAAAATTCAGTCGTACCAACCTAAAAATCAAAAGAATTGGCAAGACATGAAAATCAAAAATACCACAAGACCATTCAAAACAAAAAAACGAAATATCCGAAAAAACTGATTTAATTTCAGAATTGGTCCCCTCGGATATCGAAAAAGAAGTGAGGAACTTGTATTTAGCATTATGTGAGTTACTTAACCACTTTTGGAAATGCCTTCCGCCAGCAAATCCCAGTATGGAACAAAAGTTCGTTAAAATGCACGAGGCTTTGCATAGATATCACATGGCCAAGTTAAAACCTTTTGAGGTAAAAACATTGCGAATATTTCATCGAAAAATGTTTACTACTTATCGTTTTTTAGGATAAGTTAATCAGGGAGTTGTCACCACTTTCACATCACCTCACCAAACATTTAAATCAGCTCCTGAATGCAGCATATCAGAAATTCAATAATTGGCAAAAAATAAAGAGCAGATAAATGTTATCAATGGTAATTGTATAGAGCAATAACTGTTTTAGGTTACTCGGTTTTATTTCCGCAATAAATTGTAAGAATTGTTATTTATTAATTGAATAAACTTTTGTATCAACAATGATTTTTATTAACCACCAGGGCTCAAAGGATTAAAGTTTTCCTCTAAATCCTATACAAATTATGAAATTAGAACATTTTTTGAGTCAATTTTCCATAATGAAAAAAGTGTTTTTACTTTAAAAATATCTTTGATACTAAAGTCTGGCAAGATAAATTTGCAGTGACGTCAAAAGTTCTAGTGTAAGAGAACCAATCAAATTTAAGTTTCCCCACCTAAAAAGATACCTCACGGCAAATTTATCTTTGCCACCTTTAGTTCTCCACATTTATATATTTAACAAATTCCTCAGATTATCGGTTAAGATATTGTTTGTTTTTTAATCTTCATCAAGTTATAATTGATCCCTGCGCATTCACCATTTTAAAAAGTATTGAACTGCTGAACGGATTTTGATGAAATTTGGTGTAGAGATTTCCTATAGGTCCTGAATTGACATTAAAAAATGTATCACAAAGAAATGGGATAGTCATAACTAACACTGTAAACAATAATATGTTGTTGAAGTGAGCGCCATCTATTATAGTGCGCAAGAACATGACCCCATTGTAGAAAGTGAAAAAAAGGAATCCTATATCTGTAATTCTACATCTTTAAAGCAATTTGCTTTATTTAGTAATTATAGTGTTGCATATAAGCGCTAGATGAGTTGTTGGAAACAGTTTTCTTCAGTTTTTATTAATAATGTTAGGTTGGTGATTTTAATTATGAGATAAGCCTGATTTTTATGTTTTTATTAAATAAAATTTTAAATAAGAAATAAATTAAAAATAAATATATATTTAAGGCAGGAAAATTCTTTAAATATAAACTTAATAATAATCATCATAAGGTATCCTCGAATTATATCTGGGGGGTCTTCTAAAATCCAAATGAATGTCGTCATGGTCATACGCAGGTCTATGGTCGTATCTCCTGTCGATATATCTAGGATCCTCGTAGACCGTTATGGTTCTTGTCGGCGGCAATGGGTTTCGAATCGGGTGTTGCTGGGGGCCATCGTAGTAGTAATCTTCTTCTGGGACGTAACGTTCGTTGTAATACGGTCTTTCTACGAATTCTTCTTGGTGATAATCTCTTCCTACGTCTACGAAGATCAACAAATTATATAATTATACATAATTTAAGGGATTTTTTCTTTTGTTACCAAAGTTGTTGCGTCCATTGTTTCTGGCAGCTTCCTCCCTGTCATCAAAGTATTTTCGTTGGTTGTATTGTCTGTTTTGACCTTGGTCTTGGTTGAAAGCTTCCCCGTTGTTGTAATTGCGATGTTTTTCCCTGTCGTTGGCGTAGTGGTTGGCGTTACGGTCTTCAGCCTTTTGACGGTGGTTGCTAAAGTCACCAAAGGTCCCTAAAATATAAAATATGCTTTGATTTAAGAAATAGCTGCCTTTTATTTTATAATTTTTATGAGTGTGCTCAGGGATAGGCAGGAACAGCAGGAGGGCAAATGCTCTGGCATTTCATCCGTAAAACGGCTGGCAATTTATCATCGGAATCATCGATGTCACGGCTGGAGAATCAAACCCCTAAATAACATTCGGCAAAATATACGAATTACCGGCATGGCGCGCGGATACATGGGGTGAATAATATAACATTACGCAATATATGCGGCTTTATCCTCAATTTATCACTGTTCATCAGCGTGTTTGTTTGCCTCCACAGCCATCCTAGATGCGATCAACCCGGCAGTTTCCTCGAAAACAACCGGCCATCTACCAATAATTATAATTATAAGCGATTTGATTATTAATGATCTACATTCCCTACGCGATAGCACAAAAATAAAAGCTTTTTCAGTAATATTCTTTCAAATATAATTATAATATTTGTAAATACTCTGGATTTGTTCAAATATTTACCAGTATTATGTCATTGGTCAATTTTTTAAAAGCCCAAATAAACATGAACAATTTTTCATGCCCAAACATGTATCTGGGTAATCGCTTATAACACTAGTTTACAGCAATTTTGCCCACCATGTCTCACTATTATTTTCTTGCGTAGTTTGACTCACTAAACGCAAAAATTACACTTAAAATTTTTTTCATGGAAGCGTTTTCGAGATATGAATTTTCAATTGTTTTTTTTTAATTTTCCGAGGTGTTTTGACGTTTTAGAGTATACTTCGAATTCTAATTGATCGATTTGACTAAAGAAGTTTTGGTATCGGCTCAGTAGTTCGATACTGGCGATTTTATGAAGTTGAAAAAGTCCTTTTTCTACAAAAATCGAGGTCAAAAATTTACATATCTTTCTGGGAAAGATAGAAATCGAAAAGATAAGTCCAGTTTGATTTATTTTACGTATAAGTTATACTTAAAGGAAAAAAATAAGCTGCTGTTGATAAAATTCTATGGATAAATGGCAAAGTTATGAATTTTTCAGTGAAAGACCAAAATTCAGTTTTTTCGAGAATTTTTACGTTTTTTTCATTTTATTTAGTTATATAAAGTTTAATATTGAACATTGATTTTTATTTTAAACATTAAATATTGAAATTAAATTATATATTGAATATTGAACAATAAATATTAAACATTGAAGTTTTATCGTTGAGTAAAGAAGTCCTAAGTCAATGGTTTTATTTTGTTGTAATAAGCAAAGGTTTAAAAAAAATCTGGCTCCTTTTTTGTTTTCTGTTGCTTTCGTATTCCGTTTCTCGTATAAGGGACCAAATGTAATCACCCATCATGGCTGCATCCCAGAAGCCGTGATACCGCCGCTCCATAGCTTTCATTTGCTGGTGAAAACGTTCTCCGTGCTCATCACTTATGTCACCCAGCTTGTCCGGGTTATTTACGCACTCGAACTCTCTACTTATTTTACACTTTTTATTGACTAAATAAAACCATGATAAAAATACTCTGTTAAAATACCAAAAAATATCAGTAAAAACAAAAGAATTCACGTTTGCGGAGTCATGTCAAATTTAAATTTTATATAATGTTTTCGGTGAAAAAAGTACGTAAAAAACTTTAAAAATTCCAATCATGCACTTTAATTAGGTTTTCATTAAAAAATAAACCTATTACGAAATAAAAGAGAAAAATAAAATAATAAATTGTCAAAAAGCTGAATTTTGGTCTTACACTAAAAAATTCATAACTTCGCCATATTTTCATGTATTTTTATCAACATTAGCTTGTTTTTTTTGTAAAAATGTCAGCTTCACGAAAAAAAATCCAAACTGGAGTTATCTGTTTGATTAAAACCTTTCCCAGGACGATATTTAAATTTTCAACCTCAATTTTTGCCATAAAAACGATTTTTTTAAGTTATTAAAATCGCTAGCGTCAAAATACTTATCCGATATCAAAAGTATGTAAAATAAAGTTTTAAAGGGATCAAATACCTTCAATTTAAGGGCTTGTTTGACAGTGGCGGCTGGTTGATTTTATGTATACCAATATCTCAGTTATTAGACATGGGACCCACACCAAATTTATAATAGTTTATAATGACATTAAATAAACAAGTTCGGCGCAAACACAATTTAAATTGAAGTTTGCGAAAAAAAGTTAGTTTTTCCTGTCGCCTCACCCGCCTCCAGGCCCCCCCATTTGAGATAATTTAAATTAAAGTGGTGCAATTTATTATCTACTATAATTTATCGACAAATTTAAAATTTTATTTAAAAAATCTAAATACTACAGGTTTTATACCATTTTAAATAATTTTTTATTTTAATAAAATAAATAATAAAAATTTAAAATCGAATAAAATCTGTAATATTTGGATTTCCTTAATAAAATTTTAAATTTGTCGATAAATTATAGTAGATAATAAATAGCACCACTTTAATTTAAATTATCTTAAAAAGGGGGGCCTGGAGGCGGGTAAGGCGACAGGAAAAACAAACTTTTTTTCGCAAACTTCAACTTAAATTCTGTTTGCGCAGAACTTGTCTATTTAATGTCATTATAAACTATTATAAATTCGGTGTGGGTCCCATGTCTAATAACTTAAATATTGGTATACCCAAAATCCACCATCCGCCACTGTTGTTTGACCAAATTGATCAATTAGATTTCAAGCCATACTCAAAAACGTCAAAATACCTCCGAAAATTAAAAAAAAACAATTGAAAATTCATATTTCAAAAACGCTTCCATACATTTTTTTGTTGTTGTGATTTTCTTGTTTAGTGGGTCAAAATACATGGAAAAATTATATGGGATATGGTGGGCAGAATTTTTTTTCGATTTTGTAAACTAGTGTAATTATAATTATATATAATTATTGGTAGAGAATTGTTACCTTTTTTTTGCTCATAAACTGCTTCATCCCCGGCATCATCACTATCATCGAAATAGCTAGAATTACTTCCGCTTTCATCATTGTGATAGGAATTGTGAAAACCACTTTTGTGGTGTCCCTTGTGATGCTTCTGTTTGTTACCAAACTCCTTGGAATCTACACCAGCATTCTTACGAAATTTCTCATCTTGATAGTTTTCTTCGTTTACTCGGTCTTTATGGTCATTGGATTCTTCATCGAACTTGCCGGAATCTTGACCCTTGATGATTTTTACTTCGTTGTTTCTATTGAAGCCGTTTTCTTCTTCAAAGCTGGACAATCCTTCGAAAACAATTCATTAAAACAAATTTTTTATCCAAAAGTATATTTATTTACCATTTCTTCGTGATGCATCGAATACGTCAGCGTTATTTTTCTGCCCGTGATTCTTGTTCACAGAAGAAATTATGGTGATTGGTCCGGCTTCCACACAAACCACCAAGGCAAAGACTGCCCACCAAAACATCCCGAAAGTCACTAATACTAACTACTGTTACAGTAACCCACAGAGAAATGATTGGGTTCGCATTTGGTTGTCTATTTATAAGACTATTAGCGGTATTGACCTTCTATAAGTTGGTCTTACATCCTGTGAGTCTAAGATATTCAATTTTACGGTATAATTTGATGCCGGATTTATGCATTTTCTAAACAATGTGCGATGAAAGGCTGACGTGTCTTTTTCGGGAATTTTTTTGCAATCTTGGCCGTATCTAAATATAATTTTAATTCAATTTTGTAGTTTTGTAATTTTATTTTGTAAAATTTTAATATAATTTTTTGGTAATATGCAATTTTGTAAGCATTTTGTTAGTTTCAAAGGTTACAGATTATTTTGTTAATGTTTAACAAATTATTTCGTTGAACGTATACGCGATTGCAGGCAGTCAATCAAAATATTTCCCACTGACAATACGCATCAATAAATTCAACTGACTTCAGCGTCTGCAACTTATGTTTCTGCTTACTTTATTCCAATTCGTAACGTGTTCGTAACAACTGTCCAGAGTGTTTATAATATGTTACCAGAAATCTGTTGTATTTACCTAAAAATTATATTGAAAGTTTATTAAAAATATTATACAGTGCTTGCAAATCCAAGTCCGACCACACTGGAAAGGACGGCTGTTCAATACCCGCGTGAAAAGAACAAGGATAGAACGCCAAATAGAATTTGATTGGCCAGAGCCGGCTGCCGGATGCGTGCGAATTGTAAGCGAGGTCAACTCTCAGTCTGGCTGCATTTAGACTAAATGATTTAGTGTCAAGCAAACTGCGTAAGAGTGTAGATGCACATTTTAATTTTCTTTTTAAATATTTTATAGGTACCCGAATCCTAAAAATAAAATTTTTTGATTTTTTCCTTGAGAACTAGGGCAACAACAAAAATAGTATTCTTAATAAAAAAGATTTCTCAAATAAAAAATAATTCTGAATAAAAATAACTAGGTATAAATAAAAATAAAACTCTAAATAAAAATAAAACTCTAAAAATAAATAATAAAAATAAATAAACTCAAAAATTAAATTAAATGTTCGAACAAGCCCCCATAGGCAGCCAAACAATAGCCTAACCTATTATAAAAATTCCCACGCACATTTGCTAGGACTTCTGGACTAATATCCCCCAACAAATTAGTTATGCGGATTCCTAAATCATTGAGGTTATTAGCCCGATCTTCCTGGAAAACGTACAGCTTCGACTTGAGGTACCCCCACAAAAAAAAATCACACGGCGCCAAGTCCGGTGATCTAGCTGGCCAGAGAATTCCTCCTCGACCCATAATAAGACGAGGTCCAAAAGTGTCGGAAAGGAATTCCCGAACAGCCATCGTATTATGTGCGGGGCAACCGTCCTGCTGAAACCATACGTTTTCGATGTTAACTCCGTCTAAATTTTGAAGCGCGGGAACTATTTGGTCTCTTAAGAGATTTAAATACCTAGCGCCATTTAAATTACCATTTATAAAAAATGGGCCAATTATTCGGTCGCCCAAAATACCCGCCCAGACATTAAGTTTTTGGGGATACTGTGTCCGAGCTGCATAAATCCTACGAGGATTTTCTCGCGCCCACATTCGAACATTCTGCGAATTGTGCCTGCCATGGAGAGTAAATGTCGACTCGTCAGTAAATAAAATATTACCGATAAAATTTGGGTCGGCATTTGCTCTCTCCATAACAACCTCGCAAAATTCCATGCGGCGGAATGCATCGGCAGGGAATTGCTCGTTTCCCCGTCGCAGCTTAAATGGACGATATCCATGGCGTCTTAGCACATTTCGTGCCGTGGAAGCTGAAATATCAAACTCCCTAGCCACCGTACTTAATGCCTGGGTTGGGTTTTCTTCAATTGACGCGCAAATTAAAGTATCCCGCGCTTCTCTATTTAGATTTTCACGGGGAGGACGTTCCCGTCGGAGCTGCATCGGAACTACACAACCGTGCGTGAGAAAATTATTAACGGTTCGTCGAATTGTTTCTCTGTTTGGTCTGGCCTCGAACATTCCCGCAAATAATCTTTGAATTTCTCGTTCAGAATTACCAGCAAAATGCCAGATTAAAATCTGAACTTTTTGTTCTAACGTGTACATTTTTTAATTAAATAATCTTTTTCACTAAAATTACTACCTCTTGCTCGCACCACTGCAGTTCTCGTTCTGATATCCTCGTGTCAACCACGCTGCGAGGTGCGCGATGGGTATGCGTTGTCGTAGCCTGCCGGCTGGCCAATCAAATTCTATTTGGCGTTCTATCCTTGTTCTTTTCACGCGGGTATTGAACAGCCGTCCTTTCCAGTGCGGTCGGAGTTGATATTGCAAGCACTGTATATGTTACACTGTTTAAAATATCTGTGGTGTAAAAGGTAATCTTAAAATGGTGTCTAAATCCAACAGTGTTAATATAAACACCATGAATTATGGTTGAAAATGGTATATACAGCAAACACCAAAACGGTGTTTATCTAAAAATATTTGAGAAGTGCACCTACACAGAAAAAAAGGAATAGTTCATTTAACTATATTAATTTAGTTGACCCATAAGTATTTATTTAAATCAACTGTGGGAAGGTTAGTATAAACAAAGATTGGTTTGACGGTACTAAACCAGATAGTTTTTTTATTTTTTTTAATAGAGTAATTGCATCAAAAATGAAAATCCCTAAAAACCTTTTTAATGTAATCTAGAGGTAAAAACACATTGCAAAAATATTTTTTTATATTCCAAAAATTCAACCCGGCCCCAAAATATCAAATTGAAAAAAAGGTACTTTTCAAACGTTCCGACCTCCCGCCATATTGCATGACGTCATAAGCTTCACCAGCTGTCAGAAATCAAGATGTCAACAAATAATAAACACCGATAAAGTTTATGTTTAACATGGAAAACGCGAAACCAAAAATTGGTTGTAAATATTGTTTTGTGCCTTGTTGTACAAATACAACCTGGAAAACTCCAGGGAAAGTTGTCCCTTCAATTATCAAAAGCAAAGTTTATGACCCTACACTGAGAGTAGTTACGGCTCAGCCGTATTTTCTTGAATTATTAATATTTAACATACCTATTTAAACCATATACCTAGTAAACGACATTTTATTTTACTTACATTAAAATGATCCTTAAAATGAGCAATAAAATGGTGACGATGTTTTGATATCGCGCCGAGCTATTTTAATCCACTTTATCCTTAATTTCCCTTTTGGCACGGTGATAAACCTTTTCCCAGGAGTTTTCCAGGTTGTATTTGTACAAGGCACAAAACAATATTTACAACCAATTTTTGGTTTCGCGTTTTCCATGTTAAACAAACTTTATCGGTGCTTATTATTTGTTGACATCTTGATTTCTGACAGCTGGTGAAGCTTATGACGTCATGCAATATGGCGGGAGTTCGGAACGTTTGAAAAGTACCTTTTTTTCAATTTGATATTTTGGGGCCGGGTTGAACTTTTGGAATATAAAAAAATATTTTCGCAATGTGTTTTTACCTCTAGATTACAATAAAAAGGTTTTTAGGGATTTTCATTTTTGATGCAATTACTCTATTGGTTAAATTAACCTAGAAAACCAACCCGTTGTATGGTTCAGTTTACTATTATGTTGTTTGTAAAATAAGAGTTACTTCAACCTAAAGCACCCTGTTAAAACGATTAAAACAATTTGCCGTGTACCGATTGCGGCAAAGGGGGTGTGGATCACGTGATGTTCTTAAATCTCGCCTCTGTTGACTTACATGAAGAGTATATAAGCTCAGGGGTCCTTTGCTTTGGTCACCAAAGTTTGGTGTGACACTACAAGTTGTTCGATATTAAAGAGACCTTAAATAGGTGGAAACAGCTGTCAAAAAGTATTTTAATTTGGTGGAACGCACTAAAAACATTATCTCTAGGGAGTTGAAGGTTCAATTTTCTGGAATAATAACACTGGTAATATACTTGTAATGCGTCAAGAAACTTCCTGTTTACTTTTTTTCCTTTTTTTCTGTGTAGTATGATTTAATTTGACCAAAAACACATAATATTTAACACTGGAAAGGAGTTCAATTTACAGCAGGGAAAAATTATTTTATTACTGTATGAAAGTTAAATTTATACTATTTTAGTATTTGAATTTACAATTTGGTGTTAAAATGGTCATGAAATTTTGTATTAATAATAAATTAACTGTTTATATAGTCATATATACTATATATTTATTCCCAAGTTATTAATTTTGGGTTTTTAATACATATAAATTGATTTTTTTGTATTTAAGAAGAAAAAAAGCATAATTTTAAACAGTCTGAAGTTTGAGGCTCGATATCTTTGAAACGGCTTGACTTACGCAAAATGTCAATCAGACCTTGTTTGTAGAGCATTCAATTTCCTATAAGGGGTAATTTTGTCTTACTTATTAAGTAGCTCGTTAGCACGTTACAAAATTCCAAAGTTTGAAAAAAAATAAAAATAAATGGGAAATAGAAAATTACAAAACGCCACCTCTAACACAGTTCTGTTTTTTATATGATTCAAAATAAAAAATATATAAATCACAAAATTACTAATTTTTTAATGGTCACAATGCCTTCTTTTAAAATCATCGAACAACTAATTCATTTCCATAGATCCAGTGATGTACCGTGACTTTGAATTTTGAGACCAAAAGTTGACACAATAATTTGTAAAAAAATCATATTACAGTTTCATTCTGCATAAAACGTATCAACTAATAAGTTAGAATAATTATATTTCTTCTTTAACTAAGTGGTTTTATTAATAAATTTAACTAAAGATAAGTACAAAACAAATCTTAAATATGTTGGCTGTTATAACAACAAATACATCGTAAAAGATTATTTTGGTAGTTTTCTGAACGACGATTCAAGTTAAACTTTTTAGAAAATAATTTAAAGGAAAAATGAACCTGCTCAGATGCTTGTTCTGAGTAAAATCCTAGAGCTCTATGATTGTATCTTATAAACTCTGG